GACAGCTTGTTCTTTTTTTCACAATGTTGAAGCGGACCATAACTAGGCCTATAGGCCTATATACAACGGACTGGCTGTCGCAAACAGTAGGACAAAAATCACATTGCCCACAGCTAATTAAATGGTGGTGAAAATGGGGAGGAAAAGTTCGCTACATAGGGAATGAAATACAAGTATTGTTGTGGATATAAACCTGTACAGCAACAAACAGTATCGTAGCTAAGTTTACGATGACATGAAATATAGCATTTGCGATATCACGCAGCGTTGTGTACAACGCGACGTTGTGCTAACACAACGGACTTCTTGTGTATAATCTTGTATTTTTCGTTGCACGAAGAATTCACGGTATCTTAGAACGCACAAAGGTTTTTTTTAACGTGAGGAAAATCGAGGTTAGCAAAGAGATGATTTTAACAACCCCGGTATTGACGACATTATTTCGGAACCAATTATAGAAATAACAGATGCCATTTTGGTATTTTTTTCAACTGGCGTCTGTCTGTGGTTGGTATGGTAAGGAAAGACTCGATAAGCAGCTGGTACATGACTTGAATTAAATGTGACGAGAATAAAAATCTTTCCAAAATTGTTACTTTTTTTAAATTTATTTATCTACAACTAGGTATCTGTCAACAACTCGTAACTGTTTGATTCCATGAGACCGAAAACACAGGGTGGGGACCACTGAAAATGAGATGCGTAACGTAACTGTTAAATATGACTGGTACCCATTCGTTTCATAAGCGGGGGATTGTGCAACCGAATGAACCGCTGGAACTGTGACATTTGGAATAATTTGAAATGGGGCGGGCGGGGGCTGGGCACAGAACTTGATGCTGTTAAAAATGAAAACTTGCAAACAATTCCAAAGTTGCTAGCGGGTATTACACCACGGAAGTGTAAACTGACATTTCAGTGTTGTTTGGGCATAATCACAAGACCAGTTTCATTTCAGATCCCGTGGGGTGCGGGGAGAACCCCCCCCCCCCCCCCCAAACACGTAGTGGCGTGGTCCCCTGGAATTTATCACACACTGAAGCGCAATTACATGGGCATTTCTATCAAAGACATTCGTTGAAACTATACCAGTACAAATGGTAAATAAAGAAAACAGCTTATGTTTGAAAAAATACAACAGTCGAACAGCGGATAAAGCCTTTAAGTTTAATTATGCTACTTAAAATATATAATTTTCGACGGAAGGCAGCAACTTTTAATCGCGGTTTTCTTGCACTTATTTTTTAAACTTTCCGGTCACGGGGAAGTTAAGACGGAACATCGTCAGCTGTATAAAGCTACAAACGCAAACTGGAAAAAATGGTCACATAAAACCCAGCTGTAATAGCACTTTATTGAAGGTTGACTACAAATAAGGCCAGTCTGGGAAATTTGACAAACTTCCCCACCCCCTACACACTCGGGTGCTTTCCAGTTATCATTCGATACGCCCACCGACGCACCAGCGTGCCGAGCCGAGTCCCTGAGCGGGCCCAGCGCGCCGTATCGCGGCCCCACATCCCGATCAGGTTCCGCTACCGTGTGTGACTTTCCCGTAGACTTCACGCGACATCGATACAACTCGCGTGTCTTGCAATCGTGTTACAGGCGGGGACTAGCGTGAAACATTAGGACACTTATCGAACAGGAGATCTAGCCAAAATAATTGGAAACCGAAGCCATGACAGGCGATACCCTTCCGACCTGGTAGAGTAATCATCGTAGGGGTACAACAAGTTTTACAATATAAACAACATATACTCGTCATAATTATACCCGTATTTCATAAACTATCGTCTAGCCCCTGTCGGGACTCTGCTGATGAAGCAGATAATTAAAACAATTAGAAGGGAGACAAGCTTAATTTGATACAAGATCAGTACACATGCAGCAAGCTTAGCCTACACTGAAACCATTAAAAGCATGAAATCCTTTGCTTTTGAGTGAACGACGCACTCTGCTGTGGTCCCATTTGCAGGGGGCACGTGGGCAGGGGGTCATTTTCTTGAGGGGTAATTTACTCAATGCATCTTCAACAATTAAAACCTCGCTTTGCTTTCCCCAAATTCTGAGGAAGGGGATGGCGTGGCGTGCAGCGGAAGCCTCGCTCATTTCAGTACTTAACAGAGTTATCACAACCGGTCCCGTGAAAATGTTCCCTCCCATTCCGTTAGTGCTCTATGGTCTGACTGAGTATCACCTCTCTGTCTCCGGTCCAACGTCTGATACATGCATGCAGATTTATGCGACCCAGCCAATCGGAGTCGATATGACGTCATTTCATTCCAAAATCTGGACTAAGCTGTTGATTGGTCAATTTGGATGACATAATGTTTGTAATACAACAACGGGCATAGAGATCTAATAAACTTCGACATTGGCTTTCAAACGGGTTACCGATGACCCGATATAGTTAAAAGGCGCCTGCTGAATGGTCAGAATCTCGAGGTCAAGACGCAGTCTAGTTGCATAATTAATCGCCGAATCTGCTCGCATGTCGTAGATTGCAAGGGGGTATTCCATAGACTACCATTCCGCATGGTGGAAACAATTTCCTCCAAGAGAATCTCCTCACCTACCGGTTGGGTTGAGTGGCCCGGAGAGACTTGTACCTTGTTACCTTGTCAACAATTCCAATTTCAGGTGTCATCAGGACACGACCGAAATCTTGTAAATATCTGGCGGGCATGGTCTTCAGGTTTGGCCCCTTAATTGTTTCCACTAATCACAAGAAGGAGGTGTCAACCTGGCTTCGTAGGGACGCGGTTCGGGCACTGATGAGGAGGCCCACACAAGTCGACAAAAGAATATGGACATGGACACCAAAAGAAGAAGTCGTGCAGTTACGATGGGCGAGTGGGTTCTTTGAGTCATAATAGATGCTCGACTTAACCTTATTTTATAGTAATTATACAAGTTTCCAACATTTACCAGAAATATTAAAAGATTCCCTTAACTAAGCACTATTTAATACATTTTCCCCACCCCAATTTTTTTTCTTTCTGTTAGTTCGAAATCAATGCAAAAAAAAGTAGTGTATGATTTGGACCAGTTTTGGTGTCATGTTGTAAAAAACCCGAAAGACATTGTGTCATACGGGATAACAGCTTTGAAGAAGAGTTTTGAAGGTTCAAAGAAAATAACTATTAAACTTCATCAACGGGGATTATCAATAACTTCTAAAATGTAACTATTCTCCCAAAGATCTAACTCTTGTCAAAGTCCTGAAGAAAGCATTAATTTACCTGCAGACCTTCGTTGAACGACGTTCAGTGAAACGTAAACTAATTTCTGTAAACAAACACTGCCACCCGACAAAACATCCTACGCACGTGTGGGCATTCCCGCGTGATGTAAATAAACAAAATGTCCAAACACTCAAAACTCCGCAGTAATTGACAGGAGCTCCTGAGTTGTGGTCTGACCGGAGGTTCTTAAAGGACAATCTCAAAACGGGAATGTCTTGACTGCGGTTTTCCTGTTCTCGTAGGGCCAGCCTAGGGTCCTCCTTGCCCTTTTCAGACTGGCTGACCATGGAGGAAGGAATAGTCTACGGACTCCATGTACTAACTGACTGACTTGGGACGCCGTGGTCCAGTGGTTACGGTTTTGAACCCATGTGCCATGGTACGTGGGTACGAACCCTGACGGGGAACACGGTGCTCACATGTTCTTGGGAAAGACACTTTTGCTACAATTGCCTCTCTCCACCCAGGAGTTAAATGGGTACCTGTGAGGGTAGAGACCAGATTGCACTGATACTTGTGTCCGTGGGCAAGGCACTTTACTACAATTGCCTCTCTCCACCCAGGAGTATAAATGGATACCTGTGAAGGTAGAGACCAGATTGCACTGGTGCTTGTGTTCTTGGGCAAGACACTTTACTACAATTGCCTCTCTCCACCCAGGAGTGTAAATGGGTACCTGTGAGGGTAGAGACCAGATTGCACTGATGCTTGTGTTCGTGGGCAAGGCACTTTACTACAATTGCCTCTCTCCACCCAGGAGTGTAAATGGGTACCTGTGAGGGTAGAGACCAGATTGCACTGATGCTTGTGTTCGTGGGCAAGGCACGTTACTACAATTGCCTCTCTCCACCCAGGAGTATAAATGGGTACCTGTGAGCGTAGAGACCAGATTGCACTGATGCTTGTGTTCGTGGGCAAGACACTTTACTACAATTGCCTCTCTCCAACCAGGAGTGTAAATGGGTACCTGTGAGCGTAGAGACCAGATTGCACTGATGCTTGTGTTCGTGGGCAAGACACTTTACTACAATTGCCTCTCTCCAACCAGGAGTGTAAATGGGTACCTGTGAGGGTAGAGACCAGATTGCACTGATGCTTGCGTTCTTGGGCAAGACACTTTACTACCATTGCCTCTCGCCACCCAGGAGTGTAAATGGGTACCTGTGAGGGTAGAGACCAGATTGCACTGATGCTTGTGTTCGTGGGCAAGGCACTTTACTACAATTGCCTCTCTCCACCCAGGAGTGTAAATGGGTACCTGTGAGGGTAGATACCAGATTGCACTGATCTCGGCTGCAGAAAAGGGGTCTCATGGCCTGATGAACAAGGGCAATAACTGGAAAGTGCTTATGACTGACTGACTGACTGACTGACTAAAATGTCACGTTAGCTGGGTAGTTCTCTCGAACAGAATAACCCCGTATTTTGGCCGTAAGGCCAAGCAAAATGTGGCCTATTGTGTAGACCAGATGCATGAAGAGACTTCCTTCACTAGCCATTCTGAATTACTGCCGTATTTCAGAAAGCGATGGCATCTTTCGTACGAATCACTCGAAGATTAGCGCTACCGTACACGGTGACACCCCCACACCCCCTCTAGCGACGCCAATGAAGCATGACTAAATTTAAATGCAAGTAAACATTTCAAAGAACAAACTTAAATTTCGCATTACACAGCGCATACAAGGGAGAAGTCCATTTTCGACACCGAATTTATCCAACTCAATAAGTAAATGACAAACAATTAAGGTCTTCATATTCATCACAAAAATATTTGATTCATTTTATTACTTTCTTTCCATATCCGATTAAAGGTAAAAGTACTAAGGCACAGTGAAAGTTAGAGGGCGCTATTATTTTACACAACAAGCAGGATCAAAACCATTCAAATCGCTATCAGCATAACAGACTTCATTCTCCCATCTCGTATATAAATCGTTCAGCCTATTTCATCCTTTCATTATTGTAACACTTGCTTTTGGTTTGCATTTCATTTTATAAATTTAACGACTAAGCTAACTATAAAACTACAAAACGTACTATTGAAGCTGCGAAATCTTGTTCCCTTATAAAATTACTCCAAGATTTCATTACGGTAAGTTAATATCTTGAATACATTCTCTTCTTAAAGATGAAAGCTTTTTTAATATAGTGAATCTCAAAAGCATTAAAATATACAAACTGGAAGGAGGTCTTTTAGGTATACAAAAATCTGTCTACAAAATTTCATCTACGGGGGCTACCAACATTTGGGAAAATGATAAGTTTGTAATCGTTGGGCTGGTTTGAACTGACAAGATATGCCTGTGATATGTAAAATCTACAGTTGCTTACAGGAACACTCGCCTTAATGTGACAAACAAGTTGGAAGAATTTCCCCAACTGCATAAGAAAACGATCTGTCAGCTAAAGATGCTAGCAGGATAAACAGAATTTCTAAAAGAACATTCATCATATGCAGCAATTTTTTTTACATCAAATTGGGTGAAAAAATACAAGATATAAAATATAAATGCCCCTTCCTGTTAAATGATTCCTGATAGTCAATGCTTTTTGCTCCGAGTATAATTTTTTTTTTTTTTGGAAAAACAAATATGATTAAACACATTATCAAATATCCACTTCAATTCTGAGTATTTTACATTCAGATATAATTGTGCCATCAATTCATCTCATTATCTAGGTTATGCATATGCATGAGATATGAATATTTTCTGAATACTTTCTTTGTATTTTACTGCTACTGCTACAACTACAAAACTATACATTATGCTATTTGGATCTAATAATTCCTTAAAATTTATTTGGATTAATTTTTCATTTTGGCGATTTTTTTGACTTACGTTGCTGGAAAGTTTTTTCAGAAATATAAAAACCAGGAAAATCCATTATATATTCTACTTCACAGGGAATGTTATGGTAATAAGTACTGAATAAGTAAAATATAAACTGTTTGGGAAAGAATGTAGTATCCAGACGCCACTTCTTTGGTTGTGCACAGAGTCAATGGAGAGTCGAGTGAACTTTCAAAGTATTTTTTAACAAAATTGGAAATGTTTCTCAGTCCCAGATTCATGTCTTTACAACATTTTTGCAATGACTGACCTTCAATGAGATAATATAGGATGAAAAAAAGTGGCGTCATGGTGCTACATTTTTTCACTGTTTGGATCATCGGCTAATGACAGTGTATTTTTTTTTTATTAAATTTGGTGTGTTAAGTTTTGGTAAAATTGTGCACTGATTGTCATGGTATGAAGTACTGGAACTAAAAGTACTATTACAAATTCATTACATCTAGAATACAGAGATTGTGGCATGTTTACTATTTGGTCCATTAAAATGGTGCATCATTTTTACAACGAAGATAGAAATCCAGACTTTTTCAGTGAACAGTACTGTGCCTAACCGGAATAAAATTCCTAACCAAGGAAAAAAACTGGATTCGTCTCAAAAAAATGGAGTAGGGGGATTTAAGTTTAAACTCAAATTAAACGATTCTACTAGAAAGAAAAATAATAAAGAGATAAATTTGGAATGTTATTTACAAACATTTGATATGTGATATCACACCGAGCCGTCACGCTCAAATGAGGCATAGTACTAGTGACAATTGCAAGTCCCTTTGCTGAGTGTGATTTTCAGTGGGTCAAGTCTGAACATCATATTATATGTTATCAGCTCTCGGCTGTTTTTGTTTGTGTTTGTTGTCGCTATGCACAGCCACAATTCCTATGCCACCTGAAATGATTTCGCAAGTTTCGCCATAATTTGTTGCGCAAGTCACGCACTTTTGCACTATCAAACTTTCATGAAATGTGTCGTAACTGATTGCCTCTTGATTAGCAGAATGCGAGCACTTCGTACCATTAATAGTCCTGCTAAGAGTTTCAATCAGGCAAAACAAAACTGGGAAATTTATTTCTGCAATTTTTCCGGGATTTTTTTCAAGAAAACACCCACATCACCAAAACTCCTTGAATAAGAGTTAAACTTGTATGGAGCAAACTTGCATCTCACTTAAGTGTGACATCGTTATTCTATTGATTGTTACAAAAAATAGAAGAAGAAAGTATAATATTCAGCCTTTTCACAATGATTACACAATTGTTAAATCACACAAATCACCCAAAAAATAATAATAATGAGAGCGTGTATAAAAACAAAAAACTCACTTATTCTCTGGATAAATCATTCTGCTTATATAATATTTATATCAAATTCTCATCTTTCAATCCATTCAGAGCCCTGGCTGGACTCTGGAATTGTTGACGTGTAGGTGGGTCCTTCAAAGAGATATGCTGTGTACACTGCCTGGTTATGCATGAACTACAAGTCCAATAATCTGGGTAGATTTGAATTCCGTTCATAAGTTGTCGTTTTCTTGTTCGAATCTACAGAAATTGGGGTAGATTAAAATGGATTAGAGACTATCGCTTACTTGCAATAGTGGAAGTGGTAATAACATTTTTCATTCAAAAAATTCACAAATGGAAATTGAAGACTGAATGATTGTCTTTTAAAATGCTGGAAAATCCAACAAGAAACAAACGTTTCTCCAATTTAAAGCAAACATAGGATGCTGCTAATACCATTTTGTTTGTCTCGTTACATCTTTGCGAGTGAAAGCTCAACTGTTGTACACGGCTCGGAAACCATTGAACGTGCCGTTGTTGGGCGCATTCTGGGCGTCCGTCACAAACCGCACAAACATCTGGCGAGTGGAGGCCGTTATCACCGCTGGTTGTCTCTGAAAAGTCAGGAAAAAAAAACACCAGAAACTTTCTGATTAAGTTGGTGGATGGAATCTAAGACAAGTTGAACACAGTGAGGCCTATGCTGGGGGTACTTTTCCTATTTTCTTGATAAAGGTAATGAATTGAGTGGCTGCAAGTGTTAGAGGCATATAGAATCATTTTGCACTTTGTTCATTTTGCTCGTTTCCAATAATAGCACCACTCAGAATCCAAAGAACAGTGTTCCAAACCTAACTTTTCGAGGAAACAGTGAAAACCGTTTGACCACTTAACACAATTTTGTTAATATTTCTCTTTCTTTCCAACCATCAGACAATTCATTGGAAATCGCAGACAAGTCTTGATTTCTTCTAAATGACAGCAATCCAGATGGAACAATTTCGCAGGGTGTTTAGGGCCAGTAAGTTCTCTAAGCCAAGTAAGCTTTTAGAGATAATTGCAGATGATCCTACGTGTCTTTATAGGTCATTCTTTCTTACCGTTCCACAGTATCGTCCAAAGAGGCTGGATGAGCTACTGGGTCCGTCGTAAATCTCCAGGTAGTCCTCGTTACAGACTCCTTCCGCACCTTCGATTCCCAGCGCCGTGATCTCCAGAGTCAGCTGGTTCCCGCCGCTGGGTACCTGGATGGACCAGCCGCAGTCCAGATTGTTGTCGTACTCGAACGGATGCGCCGGGCTGGTGAAGCTGCCTTGGCGTCCGCCCACGGGCCCTCCGCAACCTTGAATAGTAAAGGGTTCAAGGTCATAGGTCAGATATGTGAGGTCAAGTTTGATCACTAGAAAATAACCTGGATGAAATTTATCAATAAACAATTTGTCTTAACTGGGCATGTACTTGCTGATGTTCAACTGTTTCTGGTTGACATCAACTGTTGGAAGTTGAACTAACATCAACAAACTGTGGATGTTTCTGTTATGCATGCATAAGACTCTGCTTTACACTTGTCCTTCAGTATCTTTGACATGGTGTTTGAATTTGCAATATAATCAATAGGCATTTTCAGTTGATATCAAGGAAATCATTAAAGCATTAATTTACTTAAAGAGATCTTTTTTTTTAAATCAAAACACGGAACATGCCATTTCTAAAAAGGAAATCTAATGGCTCTTTATTTTGAATAATCCTCTTGATATCAAGGAAATCATTGAAGCATTAATTTACTTTAAGAGATCTTAATCTAGAATTAAAACAGTTTGAACGATCCTCTTGAGTTTTTGGAGTATCAACCTGACAAGACAACTGAAAAATTGGAAGACGTACCCGATGACACAATGCTTGAGGTATAGGTCAGGTCAAAGCCTGCGTTGTTAACCGAGGAGTCTGTGACGAAGTTGAGGTACACAGTATTTGCCGGGAGGAATACTGGCTCCGGTATGAAGTTACCGCAGAGGGTGTACAACACTGCTCCACTAGCCGATCCATTATAGACCTGAGGAGAGAAATTTACCCCCCCAAAAATTAAAAATCAAGTCTCATTTGATACAACTTTAGCATCGAAATCTAGAAATCACAAATCTTGAATCTGAAACTTGGGAAATTTCTGTTGAGAGCAATTATTAGAAAAAGTGTTTTTAAATTGTTTTTCAATTTTTTTTTTTTTCCCCCCAATATTTTTGTTGTCGTTAAAAGCATGCAATGGATTGGAATTTAATGTTAATTTGTCAATTGCGGAGTTTTTGTGATAAATTCAATTCATAGCTTTGTCTCCAGTGTTCGCCTCAGGAGAGTTAAGGCGCCTGACTTTGAAGACTCCAGCTTGATATGGGTCCATGTTATGATTCATGAACACCAAATCTTATCATAAATATGAGGCTGAAACTTATCAAGCATTTCCAATAGAAGTGGACATTATAACATGTTTCTCATTGACTCTTGGGCTGGAGCTGAGCCACAGTTGAAGAGGAAGCCGTGGTTTGGTTAAATGGCCCGATTATCGGCACTCACCGTCAGGCTGTCGTACTGGCAATTGGAATGGTACTCGATGTCCATTTCGGTGAAGTACAGGGTCAGGAAACTGCCCACTGGCGCCGTTATCGTGATGTCGCAGTTGTAAGAGGTGTGGTAGACCTGGGGATAGCCCGGGCTGGTCACCCGACCGTTGGTCCCTGTGTAGTTCTTGTTGCAATCTGAAAATACAAGAAGAAAAATCAGTCATACAAGTCAGAGAAAAGCTCGAGAGCAAGTGACAAAAGAAACAGTTCATTTCCTTCTGATGTAAAAAGCAGTAAAAAAAACATGGGTTTTTTGTGAACTAAGTTTTTTTTTTCAAACCTGGGATTTTCAATGCTTGAACCAAACGTCTCAAAAGTTTTGATCTTATACCATCGGGATTTGTTGTTTTGAGAGACTGTCAAAAGTTAGGGACTTAGAAATCAGACTTGTTCAAAGGTTTTAAAAAAATGAAAAATGAACGTTTTGGAGAAAAAATTGTCTTCAGTAACTTTGAGGAATGTTTTTGAAGTTACTTGTTTGTTGATTTTACAGGGTGAGGAAATGTTAACGTCATACGGGACTTTGTTTCTGAATGTGTTTTGTTTTGGAGTTTGGGTTTGTTGTTGGGTTTTTGTTGTTGTTGATTTTTCCAAATCGCTTACCAGCAATGGCATAGGTGAGTGAGAAGCCAGACCCACTAGACGATGAGTCACTCATGAAGTAGATCTGGGCCGTCGTACCGGCAGAATCAAACACTGGAGGGATGTCCAGCCCACAATACCTGAGCACTTGACCATCAGTCTGAATTTAAAAAAAAACATTTATAACAACATTAAACCAAAACCGTAATGATAAGGGGGGGGGGGGTTCAAAAAGAGATGGTTGTAAGAAACAGTGATGGTAGTAACCTGATCATTTGGCCTGATTGATACTCCTAAGGATTGTCAGAGCAACTGATCCAAATGTCAAACTTGCACGTCCAGTTACTTTCAGGACACCCCTTACTTTAAACAGATATTCAATATTGGCCATTTATCAAACCATGGCCCCATCTGCAGCTTACGATTCATTCCTGGGTCTCGAATCATTTAAGTAGACTATAATCTTCACAGCAACGGAAACACGTAAACCTACGGCCTCATTTTAGGCCGAGCAAAAAAGTAAACCAGTGTCTTGTCCACCCCCCCCCCCCCCCCGAAGCCTCCTTTTTTTTTTAAAATTCATACATTTGCAATTGTTTTGTTTGAACATATATTGTCAAAATTTTGCCTTTTTAGTTGTCCCCAACAAAATTGTAGCTATGTAGAAAGGGTTACGGCTCCTAAAAAGACACAATTCGTATCGGCAAAAGAGTCCAGAAAATGGAATAATCAATCTGCTATCTTGGAAACTCTGCAACCTTGGAGGAACTAACTTCACCTGAACTTTGTAAGGTTTTGTTACTCACTATGGGGAAGTCTCGGAACTCCAAGTAGTCGTACAAACAGTTGCTGTGGTCCTCCACCTGGAAGTCGTTGACCCTGATCCGGACGTGATCGTGGGTGACCTCTGGGGCACCGATGTACCAGGTACAGCGGGTATTGTGTGGGTAGTTGCCGGGGTAGTTGGGTGAGGTGATGGTCTGTGGGGTGGTGGTGGCGTTGAAGCTACCACCACAGACGGCTGCAATAAAGTTAGTCAAAGTACACATAAGAATTGGTAGTCTATGTGAAAGACCCTGGCCCTGGCGAAGCCGGCCAATGTGTAAGCAGATTTGGCAGTTAATAATGCAACTAGACTGCATATAACTGAGAAACTGACAAATCATCAGACACCTTCTATATGTGGGTTGTCTAAGGGTTGTCTAAACGAGGATGACTTACGATCCACTGAGGAGTACTCCAGAGTGAAGCCGGAGTAGCTAATAGAGGAATCGGTGTGGAAGCGGAAGAAAGCTTGATTGGTGGAGAGGATGATGGAGGACGGCCGGGCAGTGCCACAGAAGAGGTCCACCAGGGGGGCCGAGCTGCCATAACCATCACGAATCTGAAATGAAGAGACAAAATATTGTAGGCTTTGAAGCAACAGCTTTAGCAGGCATGAAATGTGTGCAGAAGACAAACGAAAAATTGATACCATTAGAAGAAAAATTGAACGGAAGTTCTTTTTTTTCCCCAGAAATACACAGAACTCAAGAAATGAAGTAAATTCTCCCCCTCTCCCCAGCAAAAAAAAAGGAGAAGTCTGTAAAGCACTTTCAGTTGCTCAATACATAGCACACGTGATGTAAAATAAATTTGTTGGTACATTCTTCAAATGGTTGAGGAAGAAACAGACACAAACAGAGACATCTTTTCAGTCAAACAGAACAATTGAGGCTCTCCATTTTCAGAAGGAACCATTTGAAAGGCAATTGCTTAAACTTTCCGCAACTTTTGAGGCTGTACTCGTAACACAGACATGCATATGAATTTATCCAATATGTGTGACTTGGGACTCAGACTAGGACTCGAGTCACCTTTTTGCAGACTCATACTTGGACTCGGACTTGACACTATGGACTTTGATTTTAGTGACTCGGACAGGAAAGCAACATGACAAAAACGCTCTTTGTTAAAATGAAAATGGAAGATGCTTCCGCGTGAGGTAATAATTATTTTTCCAACAATTTCTCTCACCTCCAGATAATCATAGGGACAGCTCCCCTGCCGATTGCCCTCGATGCTATAGGATCCCGTGAATGTGACATTGATCACCATGTTGGTTTCCACGGAGACGTACCAGATGCAATCCAGGTTGTTTTCGTAGTTGCCGCCGGTGAGGGAGACACTGGCGAGGGTTCCTGTCGGGGAATTGAAGTTGCCTCCGCAGCCCAGAGCCGGTCCTATCAACGAAGACAAAAAAGTGGCAGAGTCTCAGCAAAGCGGAAGCTATGAAACTCAGAAAAATGAACTTACAACAAAAATGCTCCTGGGATCTATGTGTAAACTATGATCGTGGTGCTGGAAAATCCAAAATTTTTCTTGACAGAAAAACATTTTGGTATCACTGCTAAACAGTTGGCACACATTTTTTTATTTACTATAGCAGAAAATCATGCTGCTGCTTAGGCCTTTTTTCATGGAATGGACCACTTGGATGTGCTAACGATCCACCTCACCAAGCTTGAAAGCAGACTTTGAACTCACCGATAATCTCCTGATACGCAGCCGTGAAACCGTCTCCAGCCACGGAGAAGTCAGAGACAAAGCGCACCAGCATGGAGCTACCCGAGCTGACGATGGCGTCGGGCGGCGGGACCGTACCGCAGAGACGAGCTACAAGCAACGGCGCCGAGTCATCCAGGCCGTCGTAGATCTCAATGTAGTCATAGACGCAGGATGGGTGAAGCTCAATGTCCATGGAGGAAAACCTGAAATGAGAAGACATACAGATGAATGGCACCTTGGAAATGGGTCTTACTACTCTCTGTCTAACTTCGGCAGACTTGTAGATTTCACTATTTCAATAAATTCAATACGCTTCGACTGAGGCCACTGTTCCCAGTCACCTTTTCCAATATTTTGTTTTCTCTTCAATGTATTGCCTTTAGGTTGAACCTCTTACTGACTTACATCTACTAGTCCTGCGCACTTAATGATATTCAAGACTCCTAGAGATAAAAGCTCACAAGCCTATTCAAGTTGACTTGCAACTTACTTGAGCGAGACGGATCGCTGGTTGGCGACAGTGATCACCCAGCTACAGTTCTGGTTGTGACGGTAGGTATCAAGGTGCTGGGGAGTCTGGACGACACCTGCAGAACCGGTGAATGTTCCTCCACATCCTGGGGAGATAAGCAGAGCACAAAGATGGTTAGGACTATGCTCATGGCTAGGCGTGTTGGGAGTGGTCCACTTAACCGTGTTCCATAAATATAGGGTCCGAAGTGCGACATTTTTCCTGTTCCTGTTACCTTGGTTCTTGGTAATGGCCACTCAAGTATCAGTAAGAATGACTTCAAAACCTATTTTTTGTTGGTTAGGAAGGTCGACTGCATTAAGGATACATCACAATTATAAAATCACAGATGTCAGATGTCATAGGGTCATGAAATATAGCGGACACCAGATTTTTAGAATTGCCCAATCATGCTTGACGTTACTAAACAAACAGTTGCTTGGGAAAAACTAAATTGATAATATAATAAGTAAATGTTTCACATACTATCATTAAAAGTACCTTATGGAAGACACCTTAGCATCAGAGTTATACCTTTGGGGGACATGTGGAATAAGGGAGACATTTCAATGTCTCCAAAATGCCTCAGCTCCTATGTAAAGGCAAAATGTTTACTGTTCGCAAATAGGCTAGATCGATTGCTTGTGGTCCAGTTGGTAAAATTAGCAACATTTGTGGATAAGGGAATATTGGGGTTAGGGGTCAGGAAATTTGGAGAAAAAAAAAATTGTGCACAAGTCTATGGGAATGTCTCCCTAAGGGTACCATTTTCATTTCATATAACAAAAACATTTCTACACTCTGTTGGGTCACCAGAACTCTTTTATTTCAGAAGAGAACACTAAGGAAGAATGAATTGAATAAGCATGGGCCAATGCTGTGGTTCTTTCACACAGCTGATTTTGTCAGTGTTTCACCGAGACACTCAACACACCCTCTCACCTGGCTCAAAGTCCAGCCCGTAGCCCACGTCGTTGATGCTGCCGTCTGTCTGGAACCTGACAAACACGGACCCCATCCACAGGATGTTGGTGGGTACCTGGTCACCGCAGAAGTTGCCGATCACGGCCCCGGTATCGTCGGTGCCTGCCCAGATCTTCAGACTGTCGAAGTTGCAGTTGGAGCCAACTGAAGCCAAAACAAATCAAGATGTAAAGAGATTGAGAAAAGGAAACAAAGACATAGAAAGCTGGAGCACTTACTGGGGTACAATGGAACATGTAATTTTTATAAACTCACAATTTCATCTTCCAATGGTTGGTCAAGTGACTCAAATTCTTCTTTGCAAAAAAGATATAGACCATTCTACGAACGTATCACTGTACACTCACGAGGCCCCCTTTAATGGTAGAAACCACTGTTCACGCTATTGTACAAAGCAACTGCCCCGTGACAGATTATCTTAACTATAGCTAGCACAATGCTTCCGTCATTGAAGGGGGCCTCTGTGGGGGAACGTCGATTTTTTGAATTACCCTCATTAAAAAAACTCAGAAAAGAGACCTACCAAAAAATGTACTAAACAGTAAATAATATAAGTAAGAGCAATTCACTAATCTCCACACAGGTCTGGTGATATTTTCATGTCATTAAGCAATGTTCTGACACAAGGTTACTACAAAATACGATCAAATACATCCAAAAATGGAGATAATCCTACTAATATTTCATCACCCACCTTCGATTGCGAATGGATCACTGAACATCAGTCCCAGGCTCTGTTGCGGGTCCCAGTTGATGACGTAGTCACAGGTGAGGCCGTCGGGATAGTTCCGGCTGGGGTATCCCGGCGACACAATGCGACCGCTGGTCACGCCGGTGAACGTGGCTCCGCAACCTACAAGAAAAAAAATTAATTGAATGATAAGTATCAATTATTATTACCAACAAGGTTCACTATTTGAAACAGTTGGAGAGATAACATTGAACGTTCGACTGTTGCAGCTACCCAAGTATGACACCTGGGACTAGTTTAACGGAAATTTGAATATTTTAACTTTCTGAAAGTAATATTAATTTGGGTTGACCTGGGTCACGGCTAATTCTGTTTGGCTCAGCATGGCTCTGGGACATCAGTCTGGAACCAGTTTATTAAAGCTAGGAACCTGCCAGGCACATTGTTAAACTAGCGGTAATGCAAGCTTGAACCCCAAGGTTCCCTGTAACGCCTCGTAAAACCTCCAGGTAAACCTCAAAGGTTCAGGAACATTGTGCATTTTAAGACTTCCCGAAGTCCAATTCTTTCCCTGTGAACATCAATGTAATCAACAAGAATTTTGACAGAACATTCCTCTCTTTATTTCCCCCCCCCCCTCCCCTCCCTACTCCCCTCCCCCGGTACTTACCCACATTCCAGTTTGCCTGGAAGCCTGTGCCTTGATTGCTGCCGTCGCTACGGAACTTGATGGTGATGACACCTAGAGAGGAGCTGACGGGTCCTGGCACGGTGGTCCCTGAGTAAGTTCCCAAGACAGTGTCCGTGTCGCTAGCTCCGTCGTAAACCTGAGGACCACCAAAAAAAAAACCCGACGATTGAATATTGGAAAAAATAAATGAGCAAGGGCTCTTTTCCTTTCCTGGTGGGCACAGAAATTACCTTGACAGTAAAAAAGTGAATAACCAAAACACTGGTTGTCGAGGCAATGAGCGCTTAAGTGCCATTTTGGTCGGATCTCAAGTGAAATTAGTCTTACTTATTCCAGCAACAACGTCTTCTAGTAAAGTCGTCTATGATCTAAACTTGAAACCTTTCCTCTAGTGTTCTGTAACACACCTGATGAAAAAAAGCCCAACATCAGCCCAGAAATAATCTGATTCCTTTAGAAAGTTTTGCCTCTAAACGGTAGTAACAGATTTTTTATTGTTGCGCAGCGTTCTAATTTCACCCAGTGGGCAATTTACTCTACATTCAAAGAGTTAAAGGATACAGTAATGGGAAGAATGTACCACTGATTTCTGCACAGCAGTGGCTATTTCAGGCTTCAATTTCACAGAGACTTCAGTCTCAATATTTTGGCAAGGGTCAAAGTTTAATCCTAGCGGAGACAGGATCTTTACCGTGACTGAATCGCCTGATGGCACGTTGAAGCTGTTGAATGTGACTTGGACATTGTAGCCGGTTTCCACCATCAGAACCCAGACGCATTCCTCGTTGGCTACGTAGGCAGCGGGGTAGTTGGTGGTCTGGAAGGAGCCAGTGTTTCCGTGGAAGGTTCCACCACAGCCTTGAAAGACAAAATGTTTTAATAATAATCAGTTCTCTTCCTTACCAGATTACAAACAAAAACACTGCAAGTGAAACTTACGCGATCCCCTGGCATCCTGCCAGCTTGAATACATGTACATGTTCAGGTAGTTAGTAAGGACAATTTTCAGTGACGGCCTTGATTATCCAAGAGGCAGGTACCAGTTCTCAGTTGAATGGGGAGTTTGGGTTGAATGGAAAATTTGGGTAAAGCACCGGACTAACATTTGTTAGAGTCATTAGTAATACTGAGCTGAGCTCTAAAGAGACCTCGTAAATATCCGTATTGGAAAGGATTTTTTTGACGTTGGTCTTCTCTCCACAGACCACATTTCAAGTGTGGTTGAGATTGATGACTGAACATACAGTGAACTGGAACACACACACACGGACAAACAGAAGGAATACGCGATCGCAATATCCCCCTGTCTGGCTTGAAAGCCAGGGGGATAAAAATTGAGTTGGGATACATTTCAGTGTGACATTGTTGAAATATCATGTAGATGGTGTTGCAGATGTTTGCAAAATTGGATATGTGGTCACGTGATGTCGACTTTCAGCAAGCCGTTCCATTAGAAGCTGGATCTATATCACTTGAAATATGGGTGATTTAGAAGTAATGTCAATGATAAGGAGTTGCCTTACTATATGTCATTGTCACTGCTGAGTGGGCGTTTCGCACGGACTTCATCATCACAGAAGGGGAACTGTTAGGGTCATGAAAAGTTTGTCTGAAGTAACGTAATGCCTACCTCGGTTAGCCGTGGTCCATTCCAATCGGAACCCACCGGCCGAAGCGCTACTGTCGGTCATGAAGAGCATCAGTACCTCATTGCTTGATGTGGTGATAGCGGCAGGGGCAGTGCTACCACACCACGGGTTCTCCCCAGAGATCTGAGGGGCTTCAAACGTACCCCCGTTGCGCACAGAGAGGTAGTCGTACTGGCACTCAGGGTGATCCTCAATGTCGAATGCGGTGAAGGTCAGCTGTTAGTGTGAAGAAAGACAATTCTGTGTGATCAAAGTCTGTCAATTTCAATTCTAATCCTAGGTTTTGTCCACTGACTACAGCTTTATAAGCACTGTTTGAACTTGATGACTGTACAATCACGAGGCCCCCTTCAATGGGGAAACCACTGTTCATGCTATTGTACGAAGCAACTGCCCTGTGACGGATTATCTGGACAATAGCTAGCAAAATGCTTTCGCCATTGAAGGGGTACTCCATGATAGATTTGTTAGCGTGCTCAGATTGGTCTATACTAAAGCGAGAGCAGCTAGAAAAGAAAAGTCCACAAGCTCTCTCAGGTGGGACTCGAACCCACAACCTTTTTTAAAGCTCTCCGACAGCTAAAATAAAAACAATGTTGCCAAAAGATTGTGGAGTGCTGTGGTCCAGTGGTTACGGTGTTCGACTCATGTGCCGTGGTACATGGGTTCGAATCCTGAAAGGGAACATGGTTTATTCTGGCGCAGAATTTGAAATTGTTTTTTTGAAAGACTGATTTACACATACTGTGACAGTGGTGCCAGCAGGGGCCTGTATGAGCCAAGCGCAGTGATCGTTGTGATCGTACTGATCAGGGAAGTTAGGACTGGTGATGACGCCGTCGGTTCCACTAACGATGCCTCCGCACTCTATCGATGTGAACAAAAATTCATAGCAACTAAAAAAGTTTTTCAAAAAATGGGATGACGGCAGGATAACACTTCAGTGACATAACAGCCAGAAGTGAGGATTGATTGCAGATAGCCAGTACTTTAAACATTCTTTTTTTTCTCTTCAAAACATGAGAAAACTTAACAGGCTTTTAAAATCCAAGCAAACATCGCAGATATAGAGTTATAAGTTTCTTATTTTTCATGATAAACTGGCCACTTCAAGAAAGTCACATAATTTGCCTCATTTAGGAAATGTCAGGATACAGCACTGTAAAATGACTTCAAATGATTCAAATGCTCTGTTCTTTGTCCTCAAAGGCAGAGACAAATGAAGATTTCAGGTTTGAATACACTCAGCTGCTGAGTGCCAGAGCCTAACCGCCCCCTTTGCCCGCCCCCAACCCCCCCCTTCCCATCTCTACCACTAAACCTCTGGACAGAATTCACACATACCAGATGCCGAGTAGGAGATTCTGAATCCTCCTCCAATCTCGCTGCCGTCTGTAGTGAAACGCACAAAGGCGGAGGGTTGCGGAATGACGACAGGGTCGGGCGGCGTCGGTCCACAGAATCTGCCGACCAACGGCGAGTTGGTGTCAACTCCTTCAAAGAAACAAACGTTGAGAACAATGTTGGAGTCAGAGTCGTAGACAAGATCTTCCCGTAGGTCAAATCATGAGTAAAGGTCACAAGTAATTGAATTTAATTCACGGGCCTATTAGTTAGAACAATAAATATTGAGGGGTTCAAAGACACTGGATGGTACAATGTTCTACCTGCGTAGATTTCCACAGCGTCGTAGACGCAGTTTGGGCCGGCCTCGATGTCGAAACCCGCGTCAAAGCTCATATAGAGGGAGGTGTTGACCGTGGCCTGATTGGCTAGCAGCCACTGGCAGTTCAGGTTGTTGGTGTAGTTGAGGGCACCGTATCCGATACTGGAGAACGTGCCAGTGCTGCCAGGGTTGACGTTGATGAGGGCTCCGCAGACTGGGGGGGGGGGGGTATAAGCAAACATGGCATAGATCAGTTTGGAAATCAGAGGAAAATAGTGATTTTTGTTTCAGTGTTGTGATCCAGACACTTGCGATAGATACCAGGCACATCAAGAGTAAATCACAAGTCCAGCAACAAGTAATAAAGGATAAGGAATGCGGTCATCAGACTTCTGTTGACTTGTGCCTGGAAGACTTGTCATTGACTTGCGATGGACTTGGATTCCATTAGAAGTATTTTGACTACAACTTCGCTTCTACTTCTTCTGTTTTTTTTTTTTACTACAGAGAAATGCCGATACGACCTCAGTGTAATTAGAAGGTAGGACAACATACCATGCAACATCAGATATGTAACATTGGTGTATGGGTCCCCATAATGAATGAGTTGGATCTTTAGCATTGTTTGATCCAATATGTTCTTTAAGGAATTAGAGATTACTGCACATCTAAACCAAAAATAAATATCAATATATTTCTATTTCCGTATCAATTCTCTTTGGATAAGAAAAACTGGCCACTCCAATGATAGTTTTGTGCATGTTAACTCTTTTCAGTGCTGCCTTATTGTCTTCATTTGACAGAAAAAAAAGATGTTCGTGCTGATAAAATGTTCGTTGTATGCAAATTACCCAAGGAAGGACGACCTCCCTTTGACCCTAACCCCCTAAGGGCTCTTTGGGGGTCAAGTACCAAACACCACAGAATACTACATGTGTTGTGGAACTTGGGCACATTTGTATGGAAAGAAATGCATACTACAGGTTACTACTCAGTAGTATTTTGTAGCTTTAGGTGAGGTTAGGGTTAAGATTCAGATGACATTCTTACCGGCTGGATCCTGAGAGTCATACCGCGCCGAGAAGCCTCTGAACGCCACGCTGCCATCAGAGAAGAACACCACGCGCATGGTGTTGGTGGTGGAGACCAAGCCCTGAGGGGGAGTGTTGCCACAGAAGCGACCCAGACTGGGGGCGTCATTCCCCAAACCATTGAACACCTGAGAAACAGAGCAGACGATAACAAAAAAAAATCAATCGTGGAAAAAAAGGTTTAACCAAAACTAACTTCGCAACTTTTTTTATAGCTGAACAGCAGAAAATATTTTTTCTTGGCACAGAGATGTTTTTACTTTTAATGTGGTTTTTACCTCAACGTAGTCATAGGGGCAGTACGTGCCACTGCCCTCCAACTCAAAGTCGTCAAAGGACAGCGTCACAACTTGCCCGACAGCGACGCTGATTCGCCACTGGCAGACCCGGGAGTGCGAGTACTGATTGGGATACGCAGGGGAGGTGAAGGTACCGGTCGCAGTCGCAAAGTCACCACCGCAAACTGAAATCATCAGAAGAATTCAAAGATACAGTCAATCATAGAACGTTGTATAGCCTTGTACATTTTAAACTTAACTTGCCATCTTTTCTTAAATTATATCTAATAGGCTCTGATGGTACGACGTCAAAGTACCACGTGACCATCCGGTTTCCCTGTGATCGGCCAAGATGTTAGGCAAGTGTCTGGTGAGCAACCACATCGTGCATTGTGAACTAGACAGTAGGGCTGATTCTCGCATAAAAATAACCGCAAATTCTTTTCCACATACTATAATGGTCACTACCTGTGCCGTGTAACGTTGTCAAAATCATGCCAACCCAGCACTGGGTGTTAGCTCTGCGTTTCCCTCACAGTTGTTGCCATCCATCACAGCTTTGAAGGCTTGCCTACTACCTACTGCGCATGGCACTATACAATCTTCGCTTACTACAATGGCGACGCTGACTTTTCGGTACCCAGATATAGGCCGAGTTACGCGAGTCAGTGAGAGAGCCCTATATGTAACTACAAAAATGTGGGAACACTACGTTAAGAAAGTCGAGAAACAAATTGAAGTGCATCACTTGGAGGGGGGGGGGGGGAGAGGGCAATATCAATCTTTTGATTTATGGGTATCTGACAGTCCTGTCATTCAGTCTTACCATCTGAGCTAGATTGGAAACTCAAACTGAAGCCAGTAGCCACTGTGGAGCCGTCTGTCATGAAGTGGACCAAGGCATAGTTGCTGGACGTGTCGAAGTTTGGTGGGGGCACGTTTCCACACACCCTGGCAATCTCAAATGCTGCAATACCAGAAGACAAAAAAAAACAGACAAATATAAATTTCACTGAGATTTTTATTGGCTGTTGTAAATTGGCTGAGCCAAGTTGTGTGGCCAGACCGTACTGGAGTACATGCCTCCCCAAAATGGTAACATCAAGTTTTCGTTCAACATTTCAAAATTGAACGGTTCTTCTCCGTCTTCCCTCTTGGAGTTTCTTCAAGCTTCTTAGCTTAAGAGCCATGAGAGCTCTTGTTAGATCTCGGTGTCACAACCAGAAATTCAAAAAAATTAGAATCTCTTCTCTCCCTGCAATTTTTCCTGTCTTGTCTGGGTGAAATTAGGCAGGAAAACTGCTTGGAAAGAAATAAACCATCACAATCCATTCTGAGACGTCACACTCCACTAAAGTACAAAATGTGACTTAAGTATAAACATTTTGGTGGGGAGGGGGGTTGGGAGGGGGGGTAAGGGTAGGGAGTGGAGGGGGTAGGGGTAGGGGGGATAGGGGTGGGGAATGAAGGGGTAGGGGTGGGGAGTGAGGGGTTATTGGTAGGTTTGGGGCTAGGGAATGGGGCTAGGGGTTGGTTTGGGGATAGGGGAGGGGGTAGGGGTGGGTTTAGGGATGGGGGTAGGGGTTGGGGGCAAAGGGGGTGGGGTACTTACCCGATGAGTTCCTGCCATCGTTAACTACCAGTACGTCACCAGTACCGGAGCAGTCAGCAGCATTGTTGTCAATGTTGAAGTTGGTGTCAAATGTGAAGGTCATGTAATGACCATCAGGGGCCTGTACTGTCCAGGTGCAATCCAGGTTGTTGCTATAGCTACCGGGGTATCCCGGCGAGGTGACCACACCGCTGGTGCCGGAGACGGTGCCTCCGCAAGACGCTGAAGACAAACAAAGAAATCTCTGGGTTATTAGATGTCAATCGGAAGAAGTATGTACAGAATTTTTCTTAATTGAGTCAAATACTGGAACTTACTTAATTTTGCAACTGTGCGATGTTGCGTCGACAAAAGAGGGGGCTACGCTTCAACCTATCACATGCATGGGACCGGGCCATTCAAGGGATTCCTAGCCGTCTCTCACGTGTCCAGCCCACCGGGTCACCAGTTGCCTGACGAAGTCCGATGGTTTCGGACGCAACGTCGCACAGTTGCAAAATTAAGTAAGTTCCAGTATTTGATTCAATTAAGAAAAATCATCAACTACTACTGGATGACTGATAACATACATTATTATGTACAGAATTAATTGAGATCTGATAGTGTCTCTGTAGGAAGAAAGTGGAGAGAGACGCTTAAGGGGTTTTGATATTTTGTCAAGGTTATAACTTTGTGGGAGGTTTTTTTTTTAATTTAAATCTTTAATAAAAAAACTCATATACCCATTAAGTTTTCACAAAATGATGTGCAATTTTTTTATCCTTTGTTAAAAAAAAAAGACGCACCTATCGCAGCAGACAGCTTGAAGCCGGTCCGCGCCACGCTGGAGTCAGTGCGGAACCGCAGGTAGGCTGCGTTGCCTGTTGTGGTTATCGGTGACGGGGCAGTGGTGCCGCAGAATCGACCGAACGGATTGCCTGCTTGAGATGATCCGTCAATGACCTCCAGGTAGTCATAGTTACAGCTGAGAAAATAACAGAAAGGAAAATATTCATTACAAAAACTTATGATATAATGCAGAATACCAATAGGGGGATCATATATCTCTGGCTGCTGTAAAAAATTATGTTGAACCCCTGCCGTACAATTTTACAAAAAATTTGTAATTTTACAAAACATTTGCCTCAAATTTTGAACTTGTCGGAAACATTAATTTTTAATTTTCTAAACTGATACGCACTCTTTTCAGCAATAACATTGGAACTAGAGCCAAGATGGATGACTGCGTCACAGCAAAACACAGCACTCTCAGCAAATTGCAGTAAAGCAGTAAGTTCGACTTCCTTAAGAAGGAAAACTTAAACCTTTAATTATTGTTGTTGACCCATGCTTTCCCCTTTTTCCATCTCAAACTCAATCCCTTTCTACTACCACTACCGTCCATCCATGTTTGCTGATTACCTTGAGTGTGGCTCAATGCTGAACTGCTGGTCAAAGGTCATGAGGATGGACTGACCGGCCGGAGCCGTGACGATCCAGATGCACTCGATGCTCTGTGGGTAGTCCGAGGGATAGTTGGGCGACATGATGTTGGTGCTCGGCACGGCGTCAGTTAGGACGATGCTTCCACCACACCCTGGCAGGAGACACAAAAACCAAATCTTGAGTTAAGTTATCCCAACTTTGGCTTGGGGGAGTGAGGCCTAGTGAGCGTAGATTGCTTCCTGGGAAAGGTGTCACTTTGTGGACAGGGTTTGTTACTCATAAGCAGCTGGCAAGAGTTTTGAATCTTACTAATGGATATACAGTGTGTCCTTTGGCAAGCCGCTTAACCCAACTTCCAATGACCGGCAGTCCATCCTGGGAATATTCTTACTTGTTTCATGCCAAGGAAACCAGAGATAAACATGAGCTATACTGGCTTGAGACCCACAACACTTGTACTTGACTAAAATGGTTATTTGGCCGCTACTGCTGGCCAATTTGAAAGTCACTGGATAATTTGTAAATAACTAGAAAGTTGCCCAGCAAATTTTTAGTAAGAAATGACAGAAGCTACGTCATTTTTCCTGGAAGCAAAGGTCCAGCCATTTGTCCTCTGACTAATTAACTCGACTGACTGACTGACTGATTAACTGACTCCCCTGAACCTTTGAGAATAAATTACATCCCAAACTGAAGACTTTCAGCCTCATCGTGACTGGACAAGTGTAGCCCCAGTTTTACCTTGTTGCTGTGCCTGGAATGTCAGACTGAAGCCGCTCGCTACGCCAGAAGCATCGCTGTGGAACTTGACTCGCAGCAAGTTGCTGCTGGTCTCCACCTGAGCTGGGGCTGTGGTGCCGCAGTAACGACCCGTGGCTGAGCTCCCCAGGGGAGGGGATGTCTCCTCACCACCGTTAAAGAGCTGGGGGGGGATGAGAGACATACAAATCTCAACTACATTTCTCATTCGCCTGGAGAACATATTTCAATGCCACATAAACAGGATTTTTGTTGTTGTTTTTTTTTAACTTGGCAACACTCACACAAAATCTGCATGATGATTCTGCAAACTCAATCATATAATTGAGCAATGCAATTTTTCCCAAATTTGTCGAGTTTTATATGCTTTAATGGAAATCTGATATCAACTCTCACAAACTAAATACAATAATACTGAGTTGGTCAGTTCAAATAACTTTGTCGCTCAGTTCAATTTGTTTAAAATAATTTGGGAATTTTAGCCTTTTTACTAAATTTGGAGGCAATTTTCAATAAAGGTTTATGTTTGGTCAGTCTCTGTTTTGACAAGAACGTAAAAAGCGTAAAGTCACTACATTTCACCACAAAAAATCTGCTTTTGATGCTATTTTTAAGGCATGCTGTGACAACAAACCTTATTCAATTTAGTTTTTTCCCCAAAGAAAGGCAAACGTCAATACTTTTTTTCCTTTTAATGTGCACTTTCAGATTCCTATTAAATTATTTTAACAAATTTAATTTCGCTTGCTTGATAACCATTGCCAACTTTTCAAAAAGAATTTCATTTCATCATATACATTTGTATTTCTGATTTCTTTTTTTTAATTTCTTATTTTTTTTAAATTTGTTATTTTATTTTTGGTTGTCATACTCCCACTTATTTTAAGGTCATGATTATGAGTGTAAATTGTATCAATTCTTTTTATTTGGTGCTTTCTGGTCTTTTAGCACAACCCCTTGAAAAAAGACCCTTTGGTAGAATGGGTTAATCCGTGGATAAATAAAGTTCAGAAATAATAATAATTTTTCTCCCTCACCTGGACGTAATCATTGTTACAGTTGCTGCTGCTGGCGATGTTGAAACTGGTCTGGAACGTGACTTGAATAGTGGAGCCAGCGGAGGCCTGAACCACCCAGGAGCAGTCTTGGTCGTTGGGGTAGTTGGAAGGGTACAGTGGGCTGGTGATGGTGCCAAGCTCAGAGATGATGGTACCACCGCAATCTGAAAAGAGGATCGGATATGGATATGTTGGAGAGTGTTGGAGTCGAGTCCAGCAAAAGTCTATCACAAGACCATCACAGGTCCATCACCAGTCAATCACAAGTATATCGCAAGTGCATCACAAGACCATCACACGATCATCACAGTTCTATCACAGGACCATCACAAGACCATCACAAGACCACCACAAGTGTATCACAAGACCACCACGTCTATGACAAGACCATCACAAAACCATCACAAGTCCATCAAAAGTCCATCACAAGACTATCACAACTCTATCACAAGACCATCACAAGTCCATCACACGATCATCACAGTTCTATCACAAGACCATCACAAGACCATCACAAAACCATCACAAGTCTATCACAACACCATCACAAGTACATCACAAGTCTATCACAAGACCATCACAAAACCATCACAAGTCTATCACAACACCATCACAAGTCTATCACAAGACCATCACAAGTCCATCACATTAACAATTAACCTGATGAGCTTTTAGCTCTATCAATGCTGCACAATCGAGAAAACACAATATTCTGGATCTCGGTTTCTAATTCAAAAGCTGGCAAGCCATATTTTGAATTGCGCCCTCTCGCGGCACAATCCTGAAATCAGCATTCATGACATGATTCTCATTCAGCTGATTGTAGCTACGTATGTCACACACCGAACCGACGAATAACAACAACCGCACGCTCGTGTGCGTCACGCCGACGCTTGCAACCATTCATGGATTCACCCAATTACAAACCAACTACAAACGGAAGTTTCCAAATGTGTCACTTGACACATATTTGGAACTGACCTTCTTTTAATGCTTTCTTCAACATGACAGCATGCCAGAAGAAATAATTTCACAGCAAGTAAAGTGTCATTACTATCTTTAAACAAAGCAATATTTAAACAATAGTTTGGTCGGTTACTTTTTAGAAAACAGCTGCAAATGGCCCCCTCTACCTTGAAGGGCTGGGAGAGGGACAGCAAGGTGTATGTGGGGTTGTGAGAGGGGGGAGTCAAGCCAACTTACTGGACTGGTAGGTTGCTTGGAAGCCAGTGCCATTGATCGAGACGTCTGAGTGGAAGACAGCGAACATGGTGTTGGCCGTGGAGTAGACTGGGTCTGGTAGGGGGTCCTGACGACTGCAGTATTTGACAAGGCTGGTGGAGGGGTCTTGAACTGAACCTGAAAAGTAGAAATTGTTTCCCCGGGAAGATTGTCAGTAAGATGAAGACAATGATGATCTTGACGCTACGGTTGATTTTTTTTATGGTGGTGGTTGTAAATGAATTTTACAATGTAGCAATGATTGCTTTGTTTTGTGGTATTATTTACCACAATTTGCATTGTTGCAGTCATGACCCTGTTGACTCTCGATTGATTGTTGGCATGGTTACGAAAAAGGTGTTATATTTTTCTTGAATTAACAAACTCTAAGACTAGTAACAATTTAAGCAAGAATTTTAAAAACATGTTCTATGCAATTAAATTTGGAAAATTTGGAAATGGGAAAACCCAGCGTGTTATCAAGAGCAAAAGTAGTTTTTATTAGCCTGAACTTTGAACGCATTGCAGCAACATAATTGATCTGGTTCATGCTGCATTATGTTCAGTCAACATCGATGTTTTAATTTGTGTTTTGTTTTGAATTTTGCAATTTGTAATTAACCCATGTAACTTTCAAGTAAACTTTGGAGAGAATGAAATTTCTAAGAATTGTTTGAACTCACCGTCGTACAACTGGATGTAGTCGTAGCTACAGGTGGAGTGAGCCTCTAGATTTAAGTCGGTGAAGTCGAGTCGGACCGTCCGGCCCGGGTTGGCCTCAATCAGCCAATAGCAGTCCAGGTTGGGCGCGTAGCCGTTGGGATAGTTAGGAGAGGAAAACATCTGTGCTGTGTCTACGGCAGCCAGAACACCACCGCATTCTGTAGGGGTAGGAATTGTAAAAGAACTTGCATTTAATACCATATTTAGAGATATTTGTGACCAAGTTTTATGAAATGAGTCTTTCAGCGATACACTACTTACGGTTGGGTGGTAGGGTCGGCGGAACACCCGTTAACACGCCCGTCACCGAGACCCAATCAAGGAGCCAGCCAGTGAGGGCTACCGAGCTGTCGGTGCGGAACCTGAGAGTAGCCACGCTGCCGGTAGTCTCCACAGGACTTGGCAAGGAGGCGCCACAGGAGGTCTGGATGAGTGAGGATTGGGTGTCTGGTCCGTCATAAACCTGGCAAAGGCAACATTGAAGACCATATATTTATTTAACGGAAGGCCATATTTTTTCATATTCACCCCGAACAAGGTACAGGGCTACAAGAGAAATACAAAGAAGAGTAGGCGCTCAGGAAAACTGAAGGTAGGAATTAGCATTCCTCTTGAAAACAGGCCAGATCATAGGTTGGAGGGAAACAAGCACCAGGCAAGGAATTCCAAAGAGATGCAGCAAGTGGATAAAAAGCTGTTGAGACATACTTTTGTTCTACATCTAGGTACTGAACAGTACATGGATGAGCACAGGCAGAAAGCTGCGTTTCTCTCTCAAATGCTCTGATTGGAGGAAACAGGAAAGGAAGGGATAAGACAATGAAGAGGACCTCGTGTGTGAGGGTAGGCAACATCTTACAGGCTTTGTTAATGTCATTGGTTGCTATATGCTGTGACAATTCGTCCTTATCTACTCAGCATGTGCAAACACAGCTCTGTGAAACCAGACCCCAGTTTTGACCAATCAAGTTCAAATTTCGAGCAGATTTCCTCGACAAGTTTTTTTTGTGGCATCAAACTCCATGTTCACATTCCAGGCAATATGAAACATCTTTTTTAATAACGGCTTCATTTTAATAACTGTTAATAATTTCAGTAACAGGCGTGTCTATGGACAGTGGATTCAAATCCTTGAATAACATATAAAAATAAACAAACTGGCAAAAGGGCACAACTAAGGTTCGGCTTCGAGAAACTATTTATTTTTAAATTAAAAATTCACAGAAGGAACCTGTCCTACCTCCAAGGCATCGTAGCTACAGACGCTGGCTCCTCCGATCTCCACGTTGAAGTTGGAAAACATGATGCGGACCCGCTGACCATTGTTGACATAGATGTTCCAGACGGCGTCTAGGTTGTTGGGGTAGTTGCTGGGGTACAGGGGCGAGGCGATCTGGCCGGATGGTGCGATCAGGGTGCCACCAAACACTGAGGAAAAAACAATTAATTAAATAAAGGTGAGTAATGACAATTCATTAACAATGATCAGTATGTCTAAAAAATTGTCACATTTTTTAATAATTAATCAAATAATAATTTCTAATCAATACATACAGTATGGATTAGACCTACCGTAATTTTCGGAATATAAGCCGCGGCTTATACGTTGAATTTGCCCATGAAAATGTTTACTGCGGCTTATACACAGGGCGGCTTATACGCCGAGACTTGAAGAATAAAAATGACATTTACATGTGTATTTAATGTACTGGTACAAGAAGAGATGTGTTGCTGAAATAATTATCAATTAAGAAAGTCATTAACAAACCGAAAGCACATCCCACAAAAAGGTACCGAGCAGTAAAAAGTACGGCTAGTGAAAGCTGTCCCTTGGACATCGACAACCGGCCGTACGTGATGCTGCCTACATGTATGCTGCATGCATGCTGCAGGGATTCCCCATGGACCACACCATTTGTGGTAATAAAGGGGTGCACTTTCTTGGGAACAATAATTACCAATATTTCCCCAGTTTAAAAAAAGGAAAAAGACAACTAATACTTTTTATGGAGTTTGAAACATATCTTTATTTGATAATCAGTTGTTCAACGTCACAATATATTTTTTTTTCTTGAAATGTATTCAAAAAACGATGTAAAACTCAAAACAGGGGTGAAACCACCTCTACGAAATTAATGGATTCGTCCATAAAAATCTCAGCATCGTGTTGATTGTTTTCGAAGAAAGTTACGATCCAAACTTGAAGTTTTGACGTTACTACTTGTTAGTAATCACAACAATTTGATAAGTTTTGCTGTAAAAACGGACTTGTTTATCCTTTAGGACAAAACAACTCAGGGGCTGTTGCCACAAAGCAGGATTTGTAGCGCTCCAGTCAGACAACACATGGTGGGTTGCATACTCTCTCAAGTGCTGGGGGAAAATAATGTCATTCGCCGGCACAGGCTCACTGACTAGCCAGCCGGCAGCAATTCCCGTTTTTTATTTCTTATCATCAATTTCCATATTTGTTTGTAAGAGTAATCGACTGTAAATGATTTGACATAACATTTGTGGCCCTTTTATAGCTTTCGTAGTGCAAATGGAACTGGTTCAGAGCATTTTGACTAGAATTTAGAGGCCTTACAAAATTGAACTGTTGCGGTTGGTGCGGCTTATACGCCGGTGCGGCTTATACGCCGACTTCAAATCTTAATTTGCAGATTTTTGCGTGCTGCGGCTTATACGCCGCGCGGCTTATATTCCGAAAATTACGGTACATGCAAAGAGAGTCCATGCAATTTGTTTTGAAAATGTATGTATTTATTTCTTCATTGTTTACATTTATTTCTTCATAGTTTACTGTTGCACAAACATGGAAAAGGGACTGTTCGGTAACTGGACAGGAAAACCGAAAAGTGTTCAAAATATGGGAATTTTAACAGCAACCACAACAGATACGTATCTGAAACAATTTCAGTTGTTATGCATTATTGAAAAATCATCAAATAGTTGCTTTAAATGGTTTTTGTTTTCAATTTCACACAATTCAACACCCATATAGTGGAGTAGATAAAATGGAATTCATTCTTTTTATATCATGCTCAGATATTCATGTTCTGAGATTTCACTTTTATATAAAATCCAAATTTTATTGAGTAAAAAACTAAACTTAAACAATACCTTTCCAGGATGTTTAACACTATTACTGTCTCAGCAATGTAATATCAGATTAAAAAAATGTATGGCGTAACTCTCTTACCTTGTCCGAAGCTAGCCAGGAACCCTACACCAGTCCCGCTGTTATCAGAGTGGAATTTAAGCCACATGGAACCTGTAGCAGTCAGGTTGCTAGGTCGCCGAGTGCCACAGAATCGACCAATCAAAGCTCCGTTCTCATCCCCAGTCCTGACCTCTAGGTAGTCATTGGTGCAGATATTCTCCAGGTTGAACATGCTATGGACGGAAAACCCAAATCAAAACGATCAATTATTCGACAAACCTGTGATTACTTTTTGCAGTGTATCATGTCAAAAACAATTCTGACACTTATTGTTGTAGTTGAGTCCCTGCATCACAAATCCATCACAAGTCTTTTAGTCTAAGTCAAGTCACTAGCCAATCAAATGAACTGTAACAAGTCTAAGTCAAGTCACTAGCCAATCAAATGAACTGTAACAAAGGCATTCCCTTGTTATTGTTCATCCCGTTACTTGTGATTGGACTTATGAAAGGACTTGTGACTGGACTCGACTTCAACGTTGTTGACACTATAAAACAAAAGGGTTTATGAAACGCCTGTTTTCAGCCCAAGATTTAAAAAAATCAAATCTCAATTTCTAAATCTTAATTTCTAAAACTTATACCTATATTGTAGGAATAAGTCATGTCAATTGATGTTTTTGAAACCAACCTGAAGGAAACCTGGACCTGATTGCCAGGTGATGCACGGATGGTCCAGACACACTCCGTGTCTGCTGGGTAGCTAGCTGGATAGCCAGGGCTGGAGAAGGCACCACTCTGCGAGGTAAAATCACCACCACAAACTGGAGAAGATTTGAAGGAGAAAAAAAACAGTGTTTGGCGTTTGTTTTTGTGACAAACACTGGGTGAAGGGTGCAAAACTTATCGACATTATACTGGTGAAATGAGTCAAATTTATTGTTTAATACACTGCTTGTATAAACAGGGATATCACCAAAACAAGAAAATTGCTGTGTTTTTTCTTTAACTTTTAATGGCTCACATTATTTAGACGATCGGTGAATAAGTTTCATGCCAGTTAAAAAAGCTGGGTATATTCAAAATGTGGCTGCCTTTGATGTAGCAAAGGGATTTTGTAGTCACTGCTTCACATACACGCATTGACAATCCTATCAGGCTGAATTTTGGCGACTCACCAGACAGCGATGTGGAATACGTGAATCGGAAACCAGTCATCTGAACAGAGCTGTCGGTCACGAATGTCACAGTCAGCGCGGCGCCGAACGACGTGATGGGTGTCGGCACGGTCGTCCCACACAGCTCGCTGATCAACAGTCCGTTCTCGTCATTACCCTCGTATACGGTAAGCGCGTCGTGCTCACAGCCACTGGCAGACGTCTCGATGTCCATGTGGGTAAAGGTCAGGGTGACACGATCTCCTGTGAATTGTAAACATTTTTTGAAATTGTCAATTGTCTAAATGAAGCTTTTCTATTCCAATAATTTAGAGAGAGTTGGACACAAGATTCACACATTTATGAAAATTATCGTGATGATTACACCTTGGCAGTGAGAACATATTTTTAGCATAATTGCACGATTTAAAAATATCCTAACAATGTCCACTGATTTTAAATTGACAGCAGTTCAGTTTTTAATCTTTAAAAAGTTTTGATCTTTAAATTTCTGATCTTGACCCCTTGGTTGAATATAGAATCACTCCACAAACACAAACTTTGATTGGAATTTTTGGAGAGCTTACGTAACACTTACCGGGATTGGCTGATGCAATGATCCAAGAGCAATTTTGATTGGCTGGATAGGCATCTGGGTAATTGCTTGACTTAACAACACCAGTCTGGGTTGCATCCAAGCGACCACCACATGCTGTCAAACACAAAATTGAAATTCAAGATTTGGTTTTGGGACAAAAAAATCCATAAATGCATACCCCTGCACAAAAGGCACGTTCACCTCACAGGGAAAATCTGCTTAAATGAGTGACAAAGCCTGAGAGATCTCCATACCAATAGAAATCTCAAAAAGCCACCTTTTCCCAATTTTTTGGTTAGCAAATTCCTTTGCTCAGCAAATGTCAAATGGGTACCAGTCAAGAGCTATAGACAGTGCATGACACTTGGCCGGTTACCGGTTTTAGCTAAGCCAATATTTTCAGCGACGATTTCACAAATTTTTTGGTTAGCAAATTCCTGCACTCAGCAAATGTCAGCTGGGTACCAGTCACAAGAAATATACACTGCATGAAACTCTGGCTGGTAACTAGTTTTTGCTAAGCCGATAGTTTCAGCGCTAAGCTCACCTGTCTCATATGTAGCATGGAAGCCGCGTCTGTTGACGCTCCCGTCAGCCAACATGCGGATGAACATCTTGTTGCTTGAGGAGTAGGTGGTGGCTGGGTCCGGCAGGCCGTCACCACAAGCAGTCAGAAGGAGGGGGTAGGTTTGGGATGGACCGTCAAAGAGCTGGACAGGTGTAAAAAATGGAGGAAACCAATCCTTTTGAACAATATCCTCTTCGGCTGCTAATTATCAACCAGCGTAATGTACAATTTGAACCTTTGCATCAAAGCGACTGCAGAATAATTCCCAAGATTTCCCAAAATCCCAGGATTATGTCCCAAAATAGCAGCATAGACCCTATTTTTAAGTGAACGGAGGTCACATAGTGCCGCAATTAACATTTTAGCGCATGGGCACTCTGCACTTCTGCGTGTTCTCACTACGCAAAAAATCCCAAGGCTTGGCAAAACAATCCCAAGTCCTGGCTTAAATTCCCAAGGTCTTGGAAAACTCCCTAAGGAGTAGCCACGCTTGTGTTGGTGAGGAATTTTTTTGTTGAGGGTCAATTTCTTCAAGAGATGGAAAGGGGTTTACTTAAGTTTTGAAATGTTGATAAACTAGGAAACATGACCCTCCCTTCCAATACCTTGACGTAGTCATACTGGCAGGCAGATGCTCCCTCAAGGTTGAAATCCAAGAAGGTCAACTTGACGCGATGCTCCTCGGCCACAGTGATCAGCCAGGTGCAGTCCGTGGAGTGGTCGTAGTAGTTGGGATAGTTGTGGGAGTGGAAGTCTCCGGTCGGAGTTGAGAAGTTACCGCCGCATCCTAGAATCAAACAACGTCATTTCACTCATTCACAAAGGTGTGCTTGGTTGATTCTTGCAACCAGATGATAGGAGGAGAGCTCAAATTTGAGTGTTTTTTGGTGTCATTTCAGTGGTTCTTGATTACCCTTTCCAAAGATTACTTAATGTTGCCAAAGTTGTGACTTTGGACCTATCCCTGATACATGAAATTGGCTTATAATAATGATGTAGCGCCTTGAGCACCAGTCCTGGTGGATACATGCACTTTATAAATATCCACTATTAGTATTATTATGGCTTCAGACCAGCCATGAAAATATATAAACGTGAGGCCATCATTTCAGGAAAAATCATTGAGTGGCAAAGCACCAGTCCAGTAATCCGGAGGTCACTGGTTCAAATCCTGTTCAAGTCAACTCCTTTTATTCAAACAACTATTGCTTTGGTTGCAATGAAAAGAAATAAAACTTTATAAAGACCTTCAGCCCGTTTCAGTTTTGGATACCTGTGCATACTTTCTCTTCACACCTTGATTTTCTAATTTTTTTTGTTGATTTTGTTTGAATCGTTATTCTGTAGTTTTGTTTATCTTTACCTCCAGCAGTTGATTGATAGTTTGCAGTGAATCCCCGCCCATTAACGCTGGCATCGGTGCGGAAATGTACAAACATGTTCCTGCCCGTAGTGGAGACGGCTTGTGGGGTGGTCTGAGTGTGGCAGATCGTAGCCAGCTTCAGACCATTGGCATCAGTGCCTGAATAAACCTGTCCGTGAGATAAAACAAACAAATTATGTTGAATAATGTTAGGTTTATAATAATAATAATACCGGAGTCTTATATAGCGCACATATCTACCAACAATTAGGTACTCAAGGCATTGGTAATTATGTTTATTTGTAAAGACAGGTAAATGAGAAATATGAGACCCATTATGTAGCACCCTTATAAGGGTTTACAAGGTGCTGCGGCGCCAGCCACTGCCAGAAACACCGGGCAAACCCCTTCTCTTAGCGATAAGTGTAACTGGGTTCTTTAACGTGCATTACACAACACACAGGACCTACGGCTTTACGTCCCATTCAAAGAGAGGGCCATACCGGTACCATAACATAGCGAGAGGGGTGTTTTGAAAAACATGAAGCAAAATTTAAAATTTTTGGAACTATGTTGACTTTTTGACCGAAAATGTATTTATGAATGGGAATAAATATGTACTACGCCAGTATCACACAAGTCTGTTTAGACCGGCTAGTGGCCCGGTCGCCGATAATGTATCTGTGTCCATTCCGCACGCCGGTCTTAAACAGACTCGTTTAAACTCAGCCAATATTTATTCGCAAATTACACAATCTAATATATGCACATCTGTCTCCATTTCTCATTTGAGAGAATATTGAACAATTTTTTTTTTCAATAGGGATAGAAAAATTCGAGATCAGCACTAAATCTGAGGGCCTCAAAACGCAATTTTTGGTGAGTAAAAAATTAAAAGGCCCCCAATGGCATACAGTGGAGGAGACACTGACAGTGTAACCCCCGATAGTATGGGCCTACTGCAGATAATCTTAACCTGTTTTTTTTATTGAAATAACTCCCACTTTGGAATTTATCTTTATCATCCTCACCTCAAGAGCGTCGAAGTTGCAGTCGGTGCTGTCCTCGACGTCAAAGTCTGTGATGGTCAGGGTGATGGCATGGCCATACTCCACGGTGATGGTCCAGGTGCAGACCCGGTTGTGATCGTAGTGGTTGGGGTAGTTTGGACTGCTCAAGGTGCCGGTGTTTTCTGTCAAGACGCCGCCGCAGCCTAAGAAGCGGAGAAGAATACAAAAAAACACTTGAGCCGTGACTGACAATCCTCTTTTAAGAGAAAATATAATTTTTCAAAAAATCCTCCAGATTCTTGAAAAACAGACTCTTCTTGGCAGATTTTTAAAATACTGTCAAAATATTAATCCTCCCCTTTGTAATGACAGTTTAATTTTTGCAAAACTGTTTTTTGGGGGGGGGGGGGCAAAATTTGGTCACTCAAATTTTAAAATTATTAAAACTCAAATTATATAGTAACAAAGGTACTGTTTCTAGGACTGTTATTATATATCTACAGATAGTCTCCTTTAGAGGAAAAATTACAGTTTATTTAAGACATATTACGATCACAAATTTTAGAAATTGAAAGTAAAAAAAAAAATCGTGCCTACATTGTTTTGATTTTGGCATATCTCCATTTTAAGCTCTGCCCAAAAGTATCTGGTTTACAATGTGATTATAAACACTCTTTTGTACATTAAAATGCCGTTTCAACTGATAGAATGTTTTTGTGTTCATTTTTGCTGAATTCAAACAAAAACTATGAGGAGCTTTCCAAATTTTGTTCTGCAATTAATCGCACATTGGTCTCCCTCTGGTGCATACTGACCGTTGATGGTGTATGAAGCCTGGAAGCCAGCCGCGGCCACCGAGGAGTCGGAGTGGAACTTGACCAGCAGGTATTGGCCAGTGCTGGTGAAGAACACGCCCTCCGGCTGGAAGTCCTGACCGCAGAGCTGGTTGCCGATCAGCGGCGAGTCGTCATCTTGACCGTCACGGACCTGCACAACAGTGATTCAAGAACAGGAGATCAAGTATTTGTTTCGATACACAATACAAACAAACCAAGTTAACTGTTGCTGACATATGTTGGCAAGGAGTCAAGCACAAATTTGACTTCAGTAAAATCAAACACCAATAGGATCCTTTTATGTTTTTAAGTTCGTCCCAGGAGAAAATCCAATTTTGTGACTTGGCCAGTTCGATTTAATTCCTGTACTTTATACAGTGCACCTTTTATTTTACATATGCGTTAGTCGTTATTTGGATATAAGTTTTTACGATTTCGTAGTGAAAACATTATTCTTCGACGTCATTTAACCTCTGCAGCAGTGGAATGGGAACCAGACAACGGAACTTCCACGGACAGATCAATATTAAAGATTAATGTTGAAATACAGATGGTACCTTTTGGCAGACATGGTGAGGGGAAATTTGCAACCTCAAGGAAAACGTGAAATTCTATTAAAAATGATTAAAATACCCGAAGATGAATCTTCTTTTTGATACAACTCAGCAGAAAGTCCTTAGTTACCGATGAACTACATGAAAATTGCCACTCAAGGGAGTAATGGCAACGTTAAAAGAGAAATTACGATGCCGTGATAGTAGAGTTGCCGCGATAATATAGTGTCCGACTATAGCTAACAAATCATGTTTTTCATTGAACGTGTACAGGGAAACGCACGGCGCCCTCTACAGTTTTTGTACGGAGTCCATACCTCAATGTAATCAAAGGTACAGGTGGAGTGGAACTCAAGCACCAGAGTGGTGAAGGTCAGATTGACGGTGTTTCCTTCCGTGGTCTCGATAATCCAGGTGCAGTCTCGGTTGTGGGGGTACGGGTCCGGGAAGTTGGGACTCTCGATGACCCCCGTGCGGTCTGTCAGACGGACGTGGTCGCAGTCTGGGTACAAAACAAGACAAAGATTGTTCATTTCTGTTATCTGACATCACACACAGACGCTATGGGTTTTTTGTGCAGATTATGAATAAAATAAGTCTCTCAAAATGGGTCTCAAAAGGTCATTTGCAGTTTGTTGCGGGCAATTTCGTCTGGAACTCATCTCAGATATTTCATTGAATGTCTCCTTAGTTCAAGGCCAGGAGGAACGGGTGTTTGTTCAAAATAAAAAACCAGCCCGGGGCCACTTACTGGTCTGATACGCCGCGTGGAAGCCAGATCCACTAACCGAGAAGTCTGTCCTGAATTTCACTCTCAGGCTATTTCCGGTCGACTGTATGGGCGGTGGGAAGTCTGTACCACAGTACGTCCCTAGGAGTGGCTCATTCTCGGTCAGGCCATCATAAACCTTCAGAAAAATAAAGCGAGTCAATAATTTTTTTAAGCAATTTGTCCAAAGTGAGTCACAATTATCCGACTTAACCCTAAAAGGACTGATGGCAGATTCTGCCCCCCCCCTGTTTTTTAGCAATATTTTTGCCAAACGGACCTCTTTTGCTGTGAGCTTTCATGAGTTTCTAGCTTCAAGTCTGTCACACTTTTTGATATCAAATTTATGAAAAGTGGCCTTAGGGAAACTCCAATTCTGTGAATGCGTTCATATTAAATTGCGCTAGATGTGAGCCAAATTTCATTCCATTTCTTGGCTTCACGCCTGAGTTCTTAGGCAGAATAATTGTTTTTCAATTTGTAACTTTTCAAGTAGTTCGACTGTTTTGGGAGTTGGTTAGGGTTAGGGTTACTAACCTTGACATAGTCGTAGGCGCATGATCCGTGAGTCTCCAGATCAAAGTCAGCAAACGTCAGATAAAGGTTGCTACCCTGGTTGGTGGTGATCAGCCAGAAGCACTCGGCATTGTGGCCGTAAGGGAAGGGGTAGTTGGGAGAGACGAAACCCCCAGTTGGGGTAGTCAGCGTGCCGCCGCATCCTGTAGGACAAAAATGAAATAATCAATTGGGAAATACAGAAGTCAGTGTTTGAGATAAGGTGGAGTTACAAATGAGGTTAAGTGGGTTTAGGTGAGAGGGCCTTTGACATTTTTTGAAGAAAATTTATGGCAACAATATTTTATCTACAATTTTATAAAAGACTGAAGTCCTGTAATTTGCAGGACAACTTACTCCCCTTAATATTCATTAGCTTGTAAGTACTGAAGTCCCGAAAAATTTCAGGATTTTTTTTATGGTTTATTGATAATAGTAGAATGTAGCGACCGTTCAAAAATGCAAATTTGAAAGTTGATTTTAATTATTGTTTTCTCTAGGTAGATACAACAATAATCAGAAAATACTTTTTTTATATATTTATTTAACTTGAAGTATTTTATCCTTTTGTGGTTAATCTAAATTTAATTGTTTAATCACTGGGCCTGGCCAAGTATAAGCTTCGGCTTTCTCCCAGCCGCCTGCATTCATCATCCCACTGCTGCATATTGTGGTAAATTTTATTGTTCATTATTGTAAGAACGATGTTTGAAATAAATCTAATCAAATTAAAAAAAAAAATTCAAAGACACCACTTGGACTATAATGTTGTCTGTTTATCAGGCAGAAATGAAAATAATTCTTTGTGAGTGGGGGAGTGGTATTTATGATATTAAAAATGAATTTGCAAAATAAACAATATCACTCGATGTCAAATATACCTGTGGCCGTTCCATCGTATGACAGCGAAAATCCCCGGGCAGACAGGGAGGAGTCCGACTCAAATTTGATTAACATCTTGTTGCTATGGGAGGTGTAAGTGGTCGGGTTGATGCTACTGCCACAAAATGTACCAATCAGAGGCGACGTCTCATAGCCTCCATTCCTAAAGATTAAGTAACAGAGATTGTGATTGGTTTAAATTTTGATTTCTTAATTTGAAAAAAAAAAAAGGCAAGTTAAATCGCTCTTCTCTCCTCGCTGTGCCAATCTGAGGGGACGTCTCATCGCCTTCATTCCTTAAGATTAAGCAATGGGGAATGTCATTGGTTAAAGTTGCATTTCTTTAATTGGAAGGAAACGAAAACAACTTGAATCTCTCTTTCCTCCTCACTGAGCCAATCAGAGGGGACGTCTCATAGCCTTCATTCCTAAAGATTAGGCAATGGAAACTGTGATTGGTTGAAATTTTGCTTTCTTAATTAAACAAGTTTACTCTCTCGTCTCTCCTCACTCTCATTTTAGAAGCAAAATTTAACTTCTTTTTTTTAAAGTTTTACCTACAAACAAACAAAAAAAACGGTAGAAAAACGATGTTTCCGTGGCAACTCACCTCAATTCGACATAGTCGTAGGCACAGTCGAAGTGCAGTTCCATGTCAAAGTCAGTGAAATTGACGCTGATCTGCTGACCCGTTGCTACGGAGATGATCCAGACGCATTGGCGATTGTGAGGGTAGTCGGCAGGGTAGTTGGGTGTGGTTATGACACCAGTAGGCGTGGTCAACTCGCCTCCACAAACTGCGTGATAAAGAGAGTCAGGAAAGATATGTGGATCACACTAAAGGTGACGCAGAAATTTTGCACTAAAAGTTGCTTAACTAATGAAATCCGATAGCCATTAGTGTTTTTCTGCTTCAGTTTATGGAGGGCCTGTTATTAAAGAAAATGAAAAAGTTGCTAATCAGTAAACTTAGCAGAGAAACATTTAGCTCAGCAAGAACAAGCTACAAGCCAAACTTGGATTTGATGTACAACTCTAGTGACAGTAACTTTACTGGATTTTCGCTCAGTAAGAAAATATACTTTCAATGGTAAATTTCTCTTCTGCAGAGATATTGGGGGAAAATAAAAAATCCATGAAATAATCGGCAGAGGGTTTAAGAGTCATCGAGGCCCCAGGGCAAAGTAGGGTCTACGGTATGCCCTTAAAATACCCTCTTTTTTTTTGTTCTTTAGGTAAAAAAAACCTTCACGGTAACAACCTTAGAAATTCCCAATTTCAAAAGGGATTCTTTTAAAAATACTAAAACCAGGAAAAACCCTGACGAAAAATCCTGAAACCAGGACCAATCCTGCCAAATCTCACACCTGAATGTCAAAAAGTTGCCAAGCAGGAAATTTTGTTCAGCAAATTTGTGTGCTCAGGAGCAGAGAACCAGGCACAGACAATATAAATCGAATGGCATTTTGGCTGGTAATCTGCAAATATTTTTTTTCTGTGCTTAACAGGTTACTGTGCTTAGCATGAAAACGGAATTGGGACCGGTACTCACCAGTGGTGGCATCCAGAGCCACGTAGCTGGCACTGAAACCCTCTCGGCTGACGCTGGAGTCGGTGTGGAAGATGACCGTCATGACGTTACCTGAGGTGGTCAGGACGGGAGGGGAGTTGCTGCCGCAGTACCTAAAGACAGTAGAAGATATTACACCTGTTACATCCAATGTATCCAATCAGTATACTATTAGTTATCCCACGAGCGCGAGTGGAACACGGAATAATGTAGTGCATCTGTAGTAGCTTCAAATTCCCTGTGACCAACCTTCCCAGGTCCGGAGAGATAGCATTGGTTGCGTTGTCGTAGATCTGCACATAGTCATAGACGCAGTTTGTTGCATCCTCGATGCTGAACGAGTTGAAGGTGAGTCGGATGACGTAGCCGTCAGACACGGTGATGACGTAGACACAGTTGAGACCGTGGGGGTAGCCCTGGGGGTGGGGAGGCGAGGCGATGATACCGGTGTCGTCTGTGAACTGACCTCCACAACTACCTGAAAGGGGAAAGGTCAAACAGGAATTTGACAGGGACCCTCTTATTTGTGACTGACTTATGATGGGACTGGTGATTTGCCTTTTGATGGACTTTTGAAATTACTTGTGACGGACTGGACAATATTTCTTATTTGTGGACGACAAAACAAGTACATAAATAGTCAGTTTTTGTTTTCCCAAAATTGTGTACATTCAACAAATGCAAATGATGTAATTTTGGGAATGTTTTTTTTTTAATGTGTGACATAATTCCTGAAGTTCATATTGAGTGGTGCCCCTTTAATTTTAAAGGCGTATAGGATCATTTGCTTTTCATGCATTTTGTTGATTTTCAATACTAACCCCACTTAAAACCAAAGAAGAATGTTCCAAAGCTTACCTGTTGAATTTTCAGCTTATATTACACGTTTTGAGAAAAACAGTGAAAAATCAAGCACAATGTTTTAATCACTAAACACAATTTTGTCGATAGCGCTCTTTATTTCCCAAAAGCAGTCAATTATCTGATCATTGGAAATGGCCTACATTTCTCGAGTTATTCTCACTGACAGCAAGCCAGATGGATTAATTTTATCGGGCGTTTGGTTCAAGTGCGATCTTTAATCCAAGTAAAAATTGTGATAATAATTTGATAGGTTACTTTCGGGATAAATGCAAATGATGCTATATGCCTCCAATTCTTACACACCTGGCCCAGCGTCTTCAAATCTGAAGACAGCGCGGAATCCATAGTTGGCAACGGATCCATCTGTCACAAACTTGAGGTACATGGAGTTGGCGTTGGATGTGATGTCTGGCGGCAAGGCGGTGCCACACAGCTTGTTGAGGAGGGTGGCATCCGCAGATGCACCATCGCGGACCTGCATCGAGAAATATCCCTAGTGGTTACCATGGTTAGGCGACTAGATCATTGCATCAAAGTAGAGCCTGCTATATACAGGGCCCAATGTTCTTTTCATAATCATAACCACAGAATTCTGCATTTATCATGAAAATTCTGTACGGACGGGGATAGCACAATAAATTCCGCACTAACCTTTTATGAATAAAATTCTTCGTTAGGCCCTCAAAAATTTTGCTGCCTTTCCGGTAACCCGACCAACCCTAAAATTTGGATTTACATACAGTTGGCAGTTGATTTAATTTTTTTTTTTTTTTATTTCAAAGCTGTACGCTTTTTGGAAGTAACAAAAATGCTTGTAGCTATGCAATTCTGTCTACTTGTCCAGTTGGCCTCCAATCAGGCATGCAACTGGAAATTTAAAAAAAACCGAGGAAACTCCAAACCACACAAGACTTTGTAGAGTATTTTTCAATTAGTAATGGCATTCAAGAGAGGTAAAAAAAAAACAAGGAAATCAGCGGATCTGAGGACAAGTTGCATGCCTATCCACCATGTTCATGTATACAAACTGGGCACACAGGTACAAAGCATCCTTTGGGATGATCACATACCTCCAGGTAATCATAATCACAGTTGGGATGGGCCTCGATGTCAAAGGTCACAAAGGTCAAGACGACGACCTGACCCTGAGGGGCATTGATGACGTACTCACAGGCCTGGTCATGGGGGTAACTGTTGGGGAAGTAGGGGGAGATCAGATCCTGAGATGGATCGGAGTACACGCCGCCACAATCTACCCAAAAAAAAGATAAATGAAACAATATTAAATATGCATTCCTCGTGCTATTTTCGAGTTTAACCTAAAAAAAAAGATTTATTGTTTCGATTGCTATATGGTAGCAATATAAACATTATTCACTTTTTGAATGAGACATCGAACAAAACAAATTCACCAGATATGGAGATATATTTTCTGATCCCCAAAACTTACTCAATTCATAGATGGCCCGGAAGCCACCGGCGCTGACAGACACATCCGACATGAACTTGACCCACAGCGTGTTGGCCGTGGAGACAAACGGGGGCGGTATGGCATCCGAGTGGCAGTAGCGGCCCACAAACGCAGCGGTCTCATCAAAACCATCCCTCAGCTTTAGAAAAAAAAAGTTAAAAGCCATTACACTTGACAACTCAGTCCTGTTGATGCTTTGAAACTTTGTTTCGTTGTTCATTTCCAAATGCTCAAAAGACACTTTTATTTTCAGTGTACGTCATTCAATGCAAACCTGTAAACGACGCCGAAAAATTGGTAGACGAACAAGAAAAAGACTAAAAATGCTCAATTAGTAAAATGTTCCTACTATACTCCAGATGTCACCAACAGTGAAGTATGTACACAAATCACTTTTTCTTTAATTAATGGGGCTTTGAAAATTAACTTACAAAGACTTTGCTAGTAAAGTGGGTTGTGGGTTTTTGTAGGATTCAGGAACGTGCAAAGGAAATATCCCTGAAGAGTTAGCACGGGGTGTAATAACAGTCGGATACACAACATTTTCAAACCCATTGCCATATTTCCCTAACCAAATATTTTACTGAAAATACATCTCTAGTGCATGCGATAACTTCAAAATTGCTTACGCTTGATCGAGTTTGTCTCAGCAATGTTTGTGTCTGTTTTTATTTCTTTAGAGGGTCATCTTTAACATTTTTTCCAGCTTACCTCAACAAAGTCATAGAGGCAGTTGGCTTGTTCCTCAATCGTTAAATCGGTGATGGTAAACTTGATTCTGCCGCTGGCGCCAATCTGTATAGTCCAGATGCACTCGATGTTGTGGGGGTATGGGTTGGGGTAGTTGGGGGATATGATGATAGCACTGTCGGCAGTCAATGCCCCTCCGCATTGTGGAGCAACTAGTTATGAAAAAAAAAATGATAATGAAGCAATCATATCAAACATGATGTGAAATTTGGAACAGATTGTTTGACTGTTTGATTGTACAGGGTTGATTGGACACAACTTTCATGTTAAGACTTTGGAAACAGAAGGGAGTATCACTCAGAATTTACACTGAGATTAATCTCTGAACCCAATCAGCTTGGGTTTTTCCTTAAGGTATCTTGAGGGGAAGAATGTTGCATCCTGACGCCAATTTTTTTCATCATATATTATCTCAGTGAAGGTCAGTCATTCCAAAAATGTTGAAAAGACATGAATCTGAGACCGAGAAACATTTCCAATTTTGTTAGAAATACTTGGCAAATGCACTCGACTCTCAATAGACTTTGTAGGCACCAGAGAAGTGGAGTCTGGATACTGCATTCTTTCCTATTTGAGTGTCACTCCAGCACCAGACATAATAAAATCATTGACAAGCAGTTTAAACAAAAAAAATCACATTTTGGTTTAAAGTCTCCATTTAAAGAGTCTTCCAAGATGGCATCATAAATGTTCTACTTCTTTAAACTTTGGAGAGAAAAAAAGGTCTAAAATATGACAGTTTGATACATACTGGATGATGACGAGTAGGTCACGTGGAATCCGGTGTCCGTAAGTGACGCGTCACTATGGAAACGCAGGAAGGCGTATGGTCCTGTGGTCTGTACGGGAGCCGGGGTGACCGTGCTGCAGAACTTGCCAAGGGAAACCGCACTCTCCGTCAGACCATCACGGATCTAAACAAGTCAAAAGCACAAATGATAAAATAAAAAAATGCTGCAATGGTGGAGCTAGCAACTCTCATCCAAACATCTCTCTCTCTCTCAAAATAGACATTCCATTAAAAACACAGGCGGTATGCTTGTACTCCACGCACCTTTAATCTATATGGTTATCAACCCATTAGCATCTTTACTACATAGTATTACATTGTATTTATTCCCTGAAGAATTCATAGACCGAGTGGTTGAATACTGTTTCAAGCTTAGTCAAACATAAACTGTGCGTAAACGAGAACCAACTCGCAGACCTTGCTCGCGAACAGGATTTTCACTCCCAATAGATATTGGGGAGTAGATAAGGAACATCAAGAACAAAGATGGCGGATTTAGGCCCCTACCACAACTTGTGTTAATCTTGTGGATAAACATGAAAGCACTCGCCCAATGCAGTAGCAGTTTAAATGATGAAAAATGAACTTGTACGAAATCATAGAGTGGGCTTGTCATTGCCATTTTGTACAGCTGTGTGGGATTTTAATTATTTTTGTAAGATCATTTATTTTCCTTTCTAAATTCAGAGTTTTGTATGGTGGCTGCCATCTTGAATTTTCGCCCATCTGCACTCCACACACACTTGGGCGTTTGTTATAGACAACCCGAGAACACTGTTTGCAGGTCACTCGAAAACAGGGTTTTGAATACGCCAGTGTGTCCTTCAGTAATTGCTGTAGTGGGCCACCCAACCGTGCCATCCAAAGTTCCCATGCAGAGTCTTGAAAACACCAGTGTTGTAGCCGAGTCCATCCCAAGTCCATCACAAGTTCCGTCACAAGTCATTTCAAAAGTCTGTCTACAAGTAACAGTGGATCAACAACAACAAAGGAATGCCTTTGATACAGTTCCTTTGAGGAGCTCGTGACTTGACATTGGACTGGAGGACTTGTGATGGACTTGTGACTGGCTTGTTGGGACTTGCGGAGACTCGTGTCAAACTCGACTATAACACCGAGAGACGCACCTCAAGGTAGTCATAGGCACAGGTGTCATGGTCCTCCAGCTGTAAGGTACCGAAAGCAAAGGTCATGTACAGGCCTGCGTCCACCGTCACGGTCCAGACACAGTCTCTGTTGACAGGGTAGTTGCCAGGGTAACCGGGAGAAGTGATGCTGCCATGGTTACTGCCAGACAAATCGCCGCCACAGACTGGGGGTAAGAGAACAATTTGGAAATCATTAGATTGTGTTTGCTCTTTTATACAACCGGGGAAAAATACAGTCTACTTTGGCTATATGGTTCGTTAGTGTGACGTCACTTTAGTTTACACCAGGCCCACTGCCCATTACGTAGCATTGGTACCATTGGAACCGGAAGTCAACGTAACTTACGCGTTAATCCAATGGGTGCTAGTTATCAGTGGCGCGTGCACATGGTTGGCGATCGGGAAAGCGTTTCTTGAATTATTTCTTGTCATTTCAGGATTGCGTCTGTTTCCATGCCAAAGCTTATGATAACCCATCTGCATTCACAGAGCTAGCACAGCTATTCTTGGCTAGTCTTGTGAACACAGCTAAACTTAGTACTGGTTGCAGCCAAATTCCTTGCTAACAAGTAAATATGAACGCAAAGGCATACACTTCCGCTACAGTTAGCGGAAACAATTTGCTTAAAGTAATCTTTAGACCAGAACTTTGCGACCAGCATACCTGGGTCTTGGCTGAACCAGTTGATTCCGAAGCCCTCGTAGCTGACGCTGCCGTCAGTACGGAACCAGAAGTAGAGCTGGTTGTGGGTACTGGTCATGGGGGACGGTACAGTGCTGCCACAAAAGCGGCCCAGCGGCTGCGCGACGGCTGATGAACCATCGTTGATCTGCAGGAAGTCGTAGTCACAGTTCGGATGGTCCTCCAGAGCGAAGCGGGCAAAGGTAATGTAAATCACCTGTTGGAGGCAAAAAAAGAAGATTCATGTGTAGTTAATTGTTTTTATGAAATACCTCAAGTGAGTGAAACGTTCTTCGTCAGTCTGCCAGAGTACCAGTCACAAGTCCTATACATTGTGTGACACTTTTGGCTGGTGATCTGTTCTGTTTGCTAAGCATATAAAAACTGTGCTTAGTACGTATCTGTTCTTGGTAGCCTTACAAGATTCTACCAAAGGTATTGTGGTGACCACCTACCTTGTCGTCTTGCACAGTGATGATCCAGGCACAGCTCAGACCGTGGTCGTAGACCTGGCCCAGTGGAGGGAACTCAAAGTAACCAGAATTTCCAGTCAGATACGCACCACATGCTGTAAAAAGAAATGGTATTCGTCACGTTTGTACAAAGGTTCATACAGGGAGAAGTTGCTTAGAAGTCACAAGTCTTTCACTGATACGGGGCGATTCAAAATACAGTGCGCCATCAAGAGTTTGCAATGGAGAGTCCATTTTTAAGTTTACAGTCGACAAAAACATGACCGACCTGCTGCGACATGAACGAGTGTTAGTAAACGATTCAATAAATTGTTGATAAATCGAGGCAAAGCATTTTTCCACCTTACAAAATATACACCATCTTGATAAAAAGAAAAAGAAAAAGATACTCAAATCATACGCTTAGGAACCTACAGAACAGAAAAACTAACAATTGTCAGCATTCCACACCATGGCAATTTTCGACCATCACCCACAATGCACTACGAAAACATTGACTTCTCGATGGTCATCTCTTGGTGGCACACCGTATTGGGAATCACCCGTATTCCAAAACCTGGTATTTCACACAACGTGTGGTGACACTGATATTCACAGATCAACTGGCCCCAGCAAGCTCGGTGTGAAGAAGGTAAGCCTTGGGAGCTTGTAGAAATCAGAACGTTACGAGAATTGAGCAGACTTACACTGCTGGGTGTCCTGGCACTGATCACCGCTGAAGCCATCGGCACAATCACAGTCAAATCCATTAATGAGGTTGTTACAAGTGCCGCCATTGGCGCACGGCCCACTGGCGCACTCGTCAATATCCTGGCCGCAGCGGTTGCCCGTCCAGCCGGGGTTGCAGACACATCTAAAGGAGCTGCCCAACGTCTCGCAACGACCGTTGATGCAGGGGTTGTCTTGGCACGTCGCTCCCGTGGAGGGTATGCAACCGTTGGTACCCTCCCCGTCACCCGTGTAGCCAGCGTTGCAGGTGCAGATACGACCACTGGGTACCCCTGAGATATTTTTTTGTTGGGGGGGGGGGGGTGGTTTGAAAAACATTAGAGAATGAGTTCTGAGTCTACCTCTATGATTCCAAGGGTACAAAAAAGTTGCTGAAAATGTGACATCTATTTGTTGAAATGGCTAAATGGTATTCATTTTTCAAAGTTTTGGGGGGTTCCTTAATTTTTTTTTTAGCCATGCCCGATTTTGCTGATTTTTTTTGTTCACATAAGGATGATTTTGATGTACATGGTTGCTGACTGTAGAACACAAATGGAACTACAGTAATAAATATTAAGATATAAATAAATTAAATGCATGAAACATCAATTTGGGATGATGATTGGGTATTAGTATAACAGTTGGGTAAAACTGAGATTTTTGGTATTTTCTTTTACTGTGATTAGCAGATCACATTTTATTAATATTAAACTGAGCAAAGGTAAGTTTGAAATTTAAAAAAAGTAGAATCTACGCAAAGAATGTTGCATCCTGACACCATTTCTTTCATCATATTTTATCTGATGAAAGGTCAGTCATTGCAAAAGTGTTGAAAAGACATGAATCTGGGACTGAGAAACATTTCCAATTTTGTTAGAAAATACTTTGAAATACACTCCACTCGCCATAGACTTTGTGCACAACCACAGAAGTGGCGTCTGGATACGACATTCTTTCCAAATCTTCTAATCTCTTTTTTCCCCAGACTATCAAAGTAGCATTACCTGAGTTTTCAGTACAGGTGGCAAACGGCGAACAACCTCCGTTGTTCTGGACACAGATACCCACAAAAAGACATGTTACACCATCGCCAACATAACCTGAAACAAAACAAAAAATGAAAACAATTTAATTATTTTCTTGATGAAGCTATTTATCATCTGAACATATTACTTCATCTTTTTTTCCAATTGCACGCTCTACTCTGATTTGTTTCCGTCCTGTTCTTGGCATTTCTTACCTGCTGGGCATGGCCCACACTGCCTGGATCCCACCGTATTGGTACACTGCACCAACGGAGACACAGAGCAGCCGCCGTTATTGGTCAAGCATTCGTTGATGTCACTACAAGTGAGCCCGTTGCCGGTGTAACCTGCGTATCAAACAGAAATTACGATAAGCATACTCTCTATGTAACTACTACTCCTTATTAGATTTATAGCATATACACAGTGAAATCTCGATACGTCAAACTCTGATAACTCAAAACAACTGTTAAGCATAAAATTCATATTGATATACCGCATACAGTTACCTGTTGGGCAGGTCCCGCAGTAGTAGGTACCAGGCACATTGATACACGGTACCAGGGGATTGCTGGAGCATGGATACTGCCCCTCAGTGCATTCATCAATATCCACAACGCAGGCCGGGTTGCTAGTCCCATCAGTCTTCCAACCGTCCATGCAAACACAGGAATACTTGGGCTGTAGGCGCAGGGAACAAGACTTTATTATAAACCCATTTATTACATTTGTAACCGACGATTACAATGTTATTGGAAATTTGTAAAGAATTAGAATTGTTTTCATTTAAACGTTTAAACATGTAAACGTCACATGCTTAAAGGACACACTTTAAGTGCGCACGCTGGTGCGAGCTGATAGTCGTGTTTTACTATGCACCCGAGGACAATGCTTTGTGTTTCCCTTAGTCCCTGTAATATTACGCTCTTCCATTTCAACAAAAGACCCAACGCCCGAGGACTGAAAGGATCTTTTGTTCTCCCTTTTGATCTTTTGTTCTTTTGTGTCGGTCCTTTGGGGTTATGCAGTGCATGTTTATGGTGTAAATCGAGGACACACACGTGCAACATCACCGGTGAATCGAGGATGACCTCAATAAGAAAACGTGTGCAAAACCAATGAGAGCTGTTGCGAAAAAGTTAAAAGACACACAAAGGGAAAGGGAAGAGGAACAAAGAAAATCCTTGATTTACACCATAAACAAACGTGTGTGAACACGTGCAAGTATGGTATGAAGTATACACAAACCCCTATCAATGCATATGAGTCACTTCTAAATTTCTCTTTTGTGAAGAAGTTAGGATGTAGCAAGTGGAAAAAGTCTTATACCTGTCCAACGACAACCCTCGGGTCATCCACACAGAAGCCATGGCCGCAGAGATCAGTGTGAGATGCCGTGCTGCAGTCATCGTACCTGATGGTACACTGAGGACCGTACCAGTTAGCAGGACAGTTACACCTAGCAAGACAATCAAAGTCAAGATACAGACCCATTAATGACAAACCCTAGTGATAGTGTACTTAGGGCCCTTGACCATTCAGCCCCGGTATGAAAAGGGGCCCCCGGTAAGCTCGTCCCCTCCCAAGAAGTCCTCTCATACCGTCCCAGCTACCGGCCCAGGAGCTGGTCCGGTTGCTAATCAGGAACTCCTCTATCCTGGGGTCTATTGTTTGGAAGTATTGACACATGTAATATATCCCAGAAGAAACCCGCTTGTGGTTTTCATCTCTCAGCGCGAAACAATAGAACACTTTCGTCGGCACAGATCAAAACCCCTGCCATGCGGTTTCGTGCACAATGGGACCGTAAATTACCAAGGCGTTATAGAAGGATTTTATCTTTAATCCGGTAAGTCTGCTATTGTTCTGCTCTGGACGTTCTCTGGAGGGCAATAAATTGATGCGCCTGACTGACTTCAAAACTTCTGGTCAGACAGGACTATGTACCGGACGAGATTGGGCTGAAGACCGGACTGGCTTTGGACCGGACGGGGTACCGGGGGGCCCTTTTCATACCAGGGCTGAATGGTCACGGTCCCTTATGGGCCCCTCTTCAGTTTTTGTCTTGTTCACAAGGTTTTTTTAATTCTTAAAATGACTTCTACACCATGAAGCACACTTCTCTTTATTCTAATGACACTATTTTTTGTAACCTGCAAAATTAACCTATCACAGTAGAATCGCGTCAACAAAGCTTGAGAAGCATTGTCCAATTACAGGATAAAACATTTATTAACCTAAATTCACGAAAAAGAAAAAAAATCAAATTTGGACACTACGTCTGTAACCAGCTTGGACGAATTCAGCTTATAACTCGACTTTAACACCTTGGCGAACACCTTGGCGAGCACCTTGGCGAACACCTACCTGAAGCTGCCATCATTGTTCACACAGGTTCCTGAGTTCTGACAATCTTCCTCGGTTCCTGAAATGAGTCCGCACTCGTTGACATCAGTTTCACATCTGTCTCCCTGTTACAAGAGAAGACAATATTCAATACTTTTGAGATTCCTGCCTCAAATTTCCAAGGATGACAATGTCCACAATGGCATGCTCATTTTCATGCTTGAAGACATTTATGATTCAAAATAAGACTTCCATAGCATAACAATTGTGGTCATACATGTCCATCTTCAAAAATGACATTTCTATGGCTAGAAGATGATAATCCCTTAAGCACACACACAAAAAAAACCTTTAAAATCCTTCAACTAAAAATACTTTAATGACAACAACGACAGTGTATGTCCAAAAATGGAACTTTCATTTTTGTTTCCCCAGATCTTGCAACACTATTGAAAATCAACAATCAACATAAATTGTTTTCTGCTGGCCAATAAGAAGGCTGTTCTTGTGGGTAATACTGAAATTACCCAATCAAAAGCATCGTTACATATATCTACCTGCCATCCTGGTACACAGCGACACTGGTACCCCTGGTATAAATTGATGCAGGTACCGCCGTGTGTACACGGGTTGTTCTGACATTCATCGGTACCCAAATTCTGTAAAAAAACAACAACAATAAATAGCATAGAATTAACTAAAAGTCAATTCAGTTCTTCTGATAACAATCAGATCAACAAAAACATCAAATTCCTCATCCACTCAAAACTACTTCCTTGAAACCCGAAAGAGAAATTTGTATTTTTACAAATAATCTTATGTATGCGCAGTTTACATCTTCACCGTACAAGACTTCAAATCTCAAATTAAAAAAAATTGTAAGTAAGATTTTGGAAGTGCACACTCAAAGGTTTTGTAGTTGTACCAAGCTGAAGTTATTCTAATCTACTTAAGAAATTCGCCAGATCCTTCACAATTCTTCTGATATTTTTATTACCTTTGATATGTGTACATGGAACAGAGCACTAAAAACAAACCAAAACTGTGTCAATTCTAAACCTAAAACATAAATAACCAAATGGCAGTTGATGGGGTGATGCAAGTAAAATTTCTCCCCCACACCGAGAGAACGAGACCTATCACCCTGATTGGACCGCATTTTGACAGCAAACTATGTGACCCAGCAACCTCTGTTTGTGTTTAAAATTTATGAATGAAAAATTTAAGACAAATCTGTATCCACACTGCGTTGAATGTGCTGGTAACTTGAGCTTGTGCGAATGAAATTCATTTAGGTGGGGCATTTTTGCCCTGTCAAATTATTTAAGAAATCACCTTTTTTACAATAACTTTCCATCATCAGTTTTGCACGAGTGTGCGTGGGGGGATGTATCATACTTCTTGATTTTCTTTCTGAGGGCAATATTTGGACTTCTTCAGGCCTCATAGTGCACCTCTACATTGTTATACCGTAGGTTTTTAGTAGGATATTAAGATCAAACTTTAAGGGTTTTTAAACGGTTTTCAAAGCTCATTAAGTTACCAATTTCATGCAAACTGCTAAATTCTGGAACACTTGTAAACAATTATATTTTAGAGAGGTACATGTAGGCCTTTATTGACAATGTGGTTATTTTGGAATTATGATCACTAAACTATGGGTCAAATAGATTCTAAAAATGTTATTTAAAATTGTTGAAATGTACGGCAGAATTAGGAAAAAAAAGGCTTTTATAGGTTACATAGGTTACTTTAAAAATAAAATAGGCGCCCAAGTTGAAATATAAGTTTTTGTAGGTTTTGTAGGTTTTAACATTTTTGCTGTGAGGCTTGCTTCATTCCAATGTTATGTCTAAAATTCAAATTTACCAGTTACTAAATTAAAAGTAACCATTTCCTGTCTTTCTACAACCATTTTTTTTTTTCGGGGGGGGGGGGGGGTGCTGTTTATGTTTTTATGATTTATGTACCTTTTTGCACTCCCTGCACATGGAAGTACAAAACGTTACTAAAGTGCACAGCTAAATTTATTTTTTCAACTTAAGTCAAAATAAATCACAATGCAACTTGCATTGCAAAAACTTTTCTTTAAAGAGCCTTCAAATTTGACTCAAAAACTAATTCCTCTGGGGCTTTTTTTCCCCTTTTCAAATTAACTTTGCATGGCGTCATCATACTGCTTACGTATTTTCTTGAAAAAAATCTGTTTGGTCATGGGTGCTTAATCCGTAATCGAAGAAGTTTTCTCAAATTTAAACTCAAGATGAACCCCCTCCCAAAAAAAAAGGAGAACTGTGATCTTACACTTGTCAACATCGAGACCTGGCTTTCCAAAGTAGAAACCTGGAACGAAAAAGGAAATAGAATTAAAGAAATATCACCATACGTATAAATAAACAACGAAATGTAGCCTTGTAATGGAGATATGGGGTTTAAACAGTTTGGCGGCTCAGTTGTCATGATCAATGGAGGCCAAATGTGCCAGGCAGTACTCAACAAATTACGCTGCACTTCAACTGAATTACAAGTGATATACATCTGGTGAGCTCGGCCTTGAGGCATGCATTATAGGGTATTGTGATCACTCAGATGTATCGATACAGTACACACTTTTGACAACTTTTCAGGCAAGTTTTCAAGTCCGACAGGTTTAGACTTGCCTGACAATGAGAACCTTTCATTGGAATTCAGATAAAAGGGGGCATACTTTTTTCTAAAAAGCCGCGCTCCACTTTATCCCAACCCCGCCACAACACAATTTATCCTTCCTTTTGCTTGATCAGTCACAGACAGTCAACAAATTCAACCCTGTTCCCCTGCCATGCCTTTTACACATGCTAGTCACCAACAGTCAGATCATATTTCATGTAGGCACTGTGACAGTCAAATTCCATCAACAGACAAAAGCAGGTGACTGGTAGGCACAGCTGGCTTGTCAATCTCCTACAGTCAAAGCATAGCTATATTAGGTTACATAACAATCACAGCCAGTCAATGCTACTTTATGAAGGCAGGGAGCACTCAACTGTTAAAAACAGTCACTTGATTTCTTTTGGCTGCTGGGCTGGCCTTGTTGAAATTGCCAGCCAGAGAGGGAGGGTTAGCACTTTCACACTGTATACATTTCTGTACAAAACCTGCAAAAAGTTCTAAGCATCCTTTTTCCCTGTACCCATTTTGCAAAACAATTTCCTAATACAAAACTTTGCTCAAACACATATTCCTACAACAGACATATTCATTCAACAGACATACATCGTACATGCACGTCACCATGATCCATATTTTGTTTCAAAGAAACTTTGACAATTTGCCAGGCCGTTGCCTTATTCAAAACACGTTTCTAATAAAAGGAGCTGAGTAATGCATATAAAGCTTTTCAAATTGTAAGCACTGCCAAAGTTCAGGAAAAAGTTCAGGTAATCGATCAACAGGCCAAAAAAAAAAAAATTAAAAATTGGATCATTCGATATCCCTCAACCTGGCAGGTTGCCAAAACCATTATTTTTTTAATACAAAAGTAAAGTGAGCCCCCAAAAAGAAGCACTCATGAGGAACAAATAGGGACCTGGTCAGGCACACGTTTGACTTGCGCTTAGTGAATATGAACTCAAACTTGTTGACACTTGTGGGAGCTGTTCTTTTATGTAGTCCAGACAAGTTTGGACATGATCCATATGTGCATGATCCATGTTTAATGGGGATAAAGTTAACTTTTTAACATTTAAACAAAACATCTGTGATATTTAATGTACATATTTTTCAAAGTTTATATTTTTATGTTTAGCAAGAGGTATTGGAATTGAAGGCCTTCGGGCCACAGCTTTTAGGTAAACCTTTTCAATTCCAGGCATATCCATTTGGCTTTCATTCTTGTTTTTTATTTTGTGATTTTTTTTTGGTTACACCTCTATGTTCCGACACCCCTATGTTCCGACTGCACATATTTCTATTCCTAACCCTAACCCTAACCCTAACCGGGAGTAACACAATCTAGGTTGTCGGAACATAGGGGTGTTGGAACATAGAGCAGTCACCTTTTTTTTATGCCGAATACATAACAAAATAATATGTAAAATACTTAAAATGCTTGTTCTGGTTTTCAAACTTGGTATCAGGGATGTAGTCGAGACCATAATAAGTCCAGTTACAATAAAATCACAAGTAAATCACAAGTCCCAGTCTATTCACCAGTCCAGTCACAAGTAAATCACAAGTCCAGTCACAAGCAAATCATAAGTCCATTCGGAAGTCCACTCACAAGTCAAGTCACGAGCAAGAGTGAATGAGCAATATTAGGAATGCCTTTGTCAAAGCTCATTTGAATAGCTTGTGATTTGAATTGGGACTGGCGGACTTGTGATGGACTTGCAGGGACTTGTGATGGACTTGACTACATCCCTGGAGTGGATGCTGCAACCGATGGTGGCAATTTCCTGAATCTGCCAGGCAGAAAATATTGCTTAACATATTTTCCATCTGAGCAAATTTCTGCCGGGAACCAGCCACAGGCAGTGCACATCATATGGCTGTTTAGCTGGTAGCCTGTTGCTGCGAAGCAAAACTGTGTTATGCTAAGCATGTCTGGCACTTAACAGTTCCATAGCAAAGGGCTCCTGGGGTTGAATAGGATTGTTGTCGAGATTTGAAACTCTGCCAAAAGCACATGACTGGGTCAAGGCTTGTGGGCATATTTATAAATATTAATAACTTGTACTTTGTCATATCGTACTTCCGTGAAAGTTCACCATTCATTTGATATTGGGAGTATTGTTTCTTTCTTTTTTAAAAGTGCACTTTTGCACTTGTGTAACTCCAAACTACGGTGTCCGCTACATGTACTTCCTTGTAGTAATTGTTAACTCCATGCAAATTTGTCTTTGAAAGATCAAGTTCACTTCGGGCAAAATGCCACCCCGCATTCCGCATTAAATTATCTCGGGATAACAACACCAACAGATTTACGCCGGTCTGTAAACCCTTTGCTCTAGTGACTGGTGGATGGACAAGTAAAGTAAAACCAGAAGATGTGGGGAGATTTTTAAAAACTACAACAGCTTTGTCGCAGTTTCTAGGCTAGGAGGGCAATTGATGAAAATGAAAAAAAAAATATCCATATTTGAGAAATCAAGACTCGAAGTTCATTTATTAACATGGGGAGTCAGGTTGGCACAGCAGTTCTTTCCTCGCCTTCCACTGCCGTGACCCCGGTTCGATTCCTGCCCTGACCACATGTGGATTGAGTTTATCAGTCCCTACCTGATTTTGTGGGTTTCCCCCAGAATACCTTCTGGGCTTTTCCCTCCACCTCTAACACTGTCATTTCTTCTCGTTGTCTTCTCTCTAAAGGTTTCTTCAGGCGAGCGATTGCAAGCTATCGCTACAGTGCCTAGGGTGCTTTTGAGGAATCCTTGGTTTCATTTCTGATACCAGCAATAAGTAACAAAAATAATAAGAAAAATTTGTTGTAATGATCAATGCATCAAAAAAACAGCAAATCGGCACGATGTTTTTTTTTAGCTCACTCAGCAGCAAACAGCACCACTTTTTAAATCCCCTTATGATAACTGCCCTCTGAATGAACCAGAGGCTATTATTCCGGTCGACCAACGCAGACAAATTGTTCTCTTGAAAATCTGCCCCAATGATTTTTTCTTGAAGCCCACCTTTTTTGTCATTGAAGCTATTCATGTGCGCCGATCCGTGCACAATTGATCATTCAGGCCGATGACCAACAGGACTGGGTCAAAATCCCTGAACAATTAAGCGCTCTATAACTGGTCAAAACAGTGGCGTATGCAGGATTTTGCTGGGGGGGGGGGGGAGCCAAAATGGCTCTCTACGTTGTTTATGGTAGCCAGAATTTTATTCTGGTGAGCCAGCCATTGCAAAATCCAAAATTTGGAAAGGGGGGGGGGGGGAAGAGATACCATCTCAATATTGGATACGCTGTTTATAAAGCAGACGATATTCAAAACCATTGGACAACAGGTGGCGCTCTACATTGCATTGTTGCAGCAAGTAAACAAAGCTGTGAAACACCTTTTCATTCATTATGTTTTTAAACTTGTCTGGGGGATGGCACTATTGCCCCCTCCCCCCCCCCCCCCACCCCTTTCAAGCACACTCATGGTCAAATGTATTGGAATCTGACACCATTTGACATCAAGATGTAATCTGCCTACACCGTAGAATATTTTTAAGGGAAAATCCTGAATGTCAAGCCTTGTTCCGAACGTGAACCAAGTATTAAAGTCCCATACTTTGGTTTTACATGCAGACAGAGAATTCTTTATCCCGCGTCAACTTGGTAAGACAGTTGGAGTACGTGTTAGAACAAGAACAACACTGGCTGAGTCAAGGAACATTAATACAATAAATTTGAAGCAGATTATTAAAAAACTAATTTGTCGAAAAGTCAGCTCAGTAGATGTAAATATGTGCATTTTAATATGTGCATTTTAATTTTAATGATCTACTTTTCCTGTACCGTATCAGCCAAATACCTACCCTAGTCTCCAGACTGCCTGTGCCTGTGCCCTCCAGTGCCGTAACCCTTGTCTGAAGATCTGTAACATCAGCCTTGATGGTATCCAACTGCTGCTGAACATCATCTGGTACTCCAGAGTCCTGCAGGACTTTGATGGCATTTTCATTTGCCGTTACCTGCACAAGTTTTGGACAATAACATGAAGTAATTCAAACGTTTGCAGAATCTGGCATTCGCAACATCTGCCTTCTCTGAAAGTTCATTATAATGACATCTTGTGTTGTGTTAGCTACTGTTATATATACTGTTATAAATATATTTTTTTACTGAATAAAAATCAAGTTGTAAAAAAACGTAATGAAATTGATGAGTTTAAAACAGTTCAGCCTTTGGCGATTTCACCACAATCAACCCTAACGTACATGTACCTGATTCCATCAAAATCCACACCCCTGTTTTGGAGTATTTCGGCGGATTCAGCCTTTCAGGATACCTCCATATTGAAAACAGGGGGATTTTGATGGATTCGGGATTGTAAGCCCAGCAGTACTGCAGGATTTTGATGGATTCAGGATACCTCCATACTGAGCAGTCACCAACACCAAAAGTTTGGTGCATGACACAACAGGAGGATTTTGGTGGATTCAGGATACTTTAAAGTACTGGTACAGGGTTTTACAGAAATTATGAGAAATTGTACACATATGCACCAGTTGCTGTGGGGATATTTGTTTGATAAGGTTGTGATTGCTTTTCTTATACAAGAAGCTTTTTGCCGTCTATTGAGTTTGCCCTTGCTTTCAAACAGCAGCAGAACTTTTCATCGGTTTTATAACAAACTTTTTACATAAAGCCATTGTGTAAACGCTATGCATGTTATCCTTGGATTGTATTTACACACCAGATGAGTATTTACTTGACATAGCAGTGTTGATTTCAACCCCTTGATAGCAAACATCATGTAAAAAAGCTGTGCATTGTGTAAGGTACAGCATTCCACTGCCTTATGGGAACAGGACGCACTGGTGGCTCTCTTGGATGTCTCGAGCATTGCGCGCGCAGTGCCTAAAATGTTCTCAACACGCGTACATGTTGCTTGCAATTTCTTCGATACACGACAAAGCCGATGCGCATCACAACAAATTTTACTCCCAAAATGCTGATGCACTTGACAATCTGTAGGCATTGACCAGTGACGTCATTTGAGGGAACCCTGTTGAGGATATGTGAGATTGTGTGCCCCCCCCCCTCCACCCTCCGCCTCCCAAAGAGGAGGTATTATGCCCAAACCCAATGCCCAAACCCTTGCCCAAGGCCAATTACACCAATCTGCCTAACACTAGAACTTGCTAAGCACACAGCAATAAGTTGCTTACCAAGACAAGGTTACCGGCCACAATGTCATGTGATGTGTATTGCTAGCGACTGGCTCCCTGCATATTTTAATGCTAAGCAAGGTTTCCTATTAGCAACTCCATGAAATGAGGCCTTAAGCTTGCTCCACCCAGTGAATGGGCCCACTCCAGTGAATGGGTCTACTCCTGTTTGGTCTGTCCCTGCACTCAATACTTAAGGCCCCAGCTTTCTATGACTGCCCAGCATTCAAGGTCTTCCACAAAAGCAATGGATCACCAACAGAAACCCTTCACAATTGTGACCTGGACACTAATTGGTTGATGTAAAATCCCATTTCTAAACCTCGTTCTACTTTTTCAAGGATTACGCCTATACTCCTGTATTCTAGCAACCAAGATGTACATGTACATGTACATGTACTTGCTTCTTGTCAGAAATTGTTTTCAAGGACGCAGTTACATGCATATGTACATGTTGAAGGATTTTAGCAACAACTAATCATGAAGTGAAACTGTGCTATGTCTTGCTTTCAAATTTTTCCAAATGCATGTCGGCATCTCTTGTATTCAGATCATGAGTACAATGTAGATTATGAATTGATAACGCTCACAAGTTGAAAATTAATTTGAACCTATTTTCCAAATCCAATTGAAGGCATTTACGGTTATTGCATGGAGTTCTTGAAGAGAGAATAATCCCTGTCAACCTGTTCTCAACATTTTTATTTCAAGTGAGGGGGAGGGAATGGATCAGTCCAGCTCACGGTGGTACGGACCACTCAAGCACGCCGCCCGGTATCCCGTGATCGACACTTGGGTTTGTTCATCTCTTGACCCCACCGGTAACCAGCAAATAACCCAGATCTTATAAATGCATGTCTGTGACGTGTTTACCAACAATACCACTCAAGCACTGGTCTTTAATATTTATTTGGAGACTTCAGCAAATAAGTGAAGTTGGTGATCATCGGAGGTTGCTGGGACATCAAGGCCAAGTACATGTCCGTTGAGAAAGCACCATTTCCCTAAAGGCCTTGGTTTGACCGATGCAATGGTAGGAACAAAGATGGGACAGGACTGTTCGCATAAACAGAAATGTCAAGTAAATAAGTAAATGTAGGTGTAAAATTAAATGAACTTCATCCATTAAACTTTACCTTTCATGCTATTGTATTTTTTTTTACATACATGGTACAAGTCATGTTTGTTTGTTTAAATATATCTGCCCCCCAAAAATTATTGTTGACTATTACGAATGTCATCGTTACTCGTAAATTATTGATTTTCTGTATATCCTGCTTAATAAAAACTATGTACATGTGTCACTACGTTCCAATGACGGTCCATGTATACATGTACTTTAAGTTGCAATCTTAGTATGGCATTAAAATAAAACTTCCTGAAACTTGAGATATTTGAATAGGGTTACATTGATATTTTTAGTTCTGTGAAATTAAACCCTCTTAGCAGTCGAAGCATCTCAGAACACAAATGAAAGGGTTTTATTAAAAGGATAGTACTAGTACGGCAGATATAATTCTGGTATAATATTACAGGGGATTTTCAAGATTTTTTTTTTTTGATAATGCTTACAGTTACACGCGAGTGTATCTCAACCGTAACAAAAAAAAGGGGCGTTACAATTTATGAACTTTCCTGTGGAAAATCATGTTGTATAACCGGCCCCAAACCCCTGGACAAAACTTCACTGCAAATATCAAGGTTCAGATTTTTGGCGAAATAGGCTAAAAAAAAAAAAAAACACGCCTACGCAAGCTTTTCCATTGTAGTTTGGTGATGAAAGACCCAGTCAGCGGTGTCCTATATTTTCCCAATTTTTTTCCTGCTTTTTCGTAATTGTACTTTGCTTTTCAGTGGATTTACAGATTTTTTTTCCCCCTGGCAACACTGGCACGCGAGCGTATCCAACCGTTAACAACAACAAGAGCATTACAATGTAAAAACTTCCCTATATAGAAAAAACAATATTGTGTTACTGGCACCGAACCCGGAAGGAAACAAAAACACTACAAATACCAAGGTCTAGATCTTAATAGAAGTCTTTTAGAATTCATTGGGAAAAAAAAAGACGAAAAAATTCTATAAAAAAATTCCATTAATGCTTGCACGCGAGCGTATCCCGACCGCAACAACTACAACAAAAGCAATACAATAAATTACCTTTCCTTTTTTTTAAACTGGCTCCAACCCTGGGGATTTTTTTTTTTACTGCAAATATAATACTCCCACGCCACGCGAACTGTCTGCTTTTTCGTATTGTTTCCACATTCCAACAATTTCAATGATGACACATGCTGTATTCATAGACACCTGCTAAATGCTTTTAAAACTTTTACATATTTCCTCCTTCCACAAGTACTATTGTTTTCCTTAGAAAAGCCACACTTTGGGTAGTCTTTGGAAAAGCCGCTTGCATACAATCGTCTGTGATATTCGCGTACATTCAGCGCTTAATGATGCAACTGTCTTGACTTCAAGATTCTGACCATTCAGAGGGTGCCTTTAGGTCTTCCGTAACTCTTGTTACTCTGGCAGCCAAATTGACTAATTGACAGCTTAGTCCACATTTCTGATCAAACTGATCTAAAGTCGACTCCTATTGGCTGGTGCGCCGGGTCGCAAGTAAAATACTGGAGAAAAAAAAAATTCACAGTTTCAGTTTTGTGGTTGTGAAAATGAAAACTCAAACTGTTTTACTTCAAAAACACTCTTACTCCACAATTTTTTACTCTTCCTTTTGTAATATGTGTAGAAGACATATAAATATCACAAAATATGAAAATCAACCCAAAAAAATCACCACCATTCCAATTTCCATTTTTGGCATTTTTTCTGCACTACGGTCTATGTCTAGTTCGTCTCAGTTTGCCAGAATGCCTAGCACATATTTGCTTTTGCTGTAATTTTCAGAAAATGGATGGATTTGGGGTTTAGTATTATTTCCCTTTTCTCTTGCATGGTAGAAGGTGAGTCACCGAATATTTGCCGTAGCTTGTATGGCGTGCTTCAGCTTATGACAGGCCCAGCCAGGTGGTAACCTTATAAGGGATTATTATGCAAAGTGTGAAAGGTCACAGGCATGCAAATTGCGCTGTCAACTTTCAACCAATGAGATTAATGGGCTTCACATCGGGACGCTGGCGTTCGGCCAGCTGCAATTTATCAGCCACTGTGTCACAGCCATCTAAAAGTGTCACAGACAATTTTTGTTCACTCAATTCTTCACACATCACCACTCACTTAACTCCACCCACAAATAAAAGTTCAGTTTTTTCCAGTATAGTGCTCGCAAGTGTCATGAGGCTATTGGGTTGTCCCTTCGGAATGGCTAGCTCTATAGTGCAATGGAGTATAGAATGATGCTATGCTCTATTTAATTTCTTTGCTTAACAATTTTTATGGATACAGACAGCCAGATTGCATACAATCGTCTGTGATATTCGCATACATTCAGCGCTTGATGATGCAACTGTCTTGACTTCAAGATTGTGACCATTCAGCGGGTGCCTTTGGGTCTTTTGTAACTCTTGTAACTTGGGCAGCCAAATTGACCAATTTACAGCTTAGTCCACATTTCTGATCAAACTGATCTAAAGTCGACTCCGATTGGCTTGTGCGCTGTGTCGCAAGTAAAATACTGCAGAAAAAAAAAACACTTCACAGTTTCAGTTTTGTAGTTGTGAAAATGAAAACTCAAACTGTTTTACTTCAAAAACACTCTTACTCCACAATTTTTTACTCTTCCTTTATTAATATGTGAAGAAGACATAAAATAATACAACTATCACTAAATATGAAAA